TGTGTAGTGTAAATAACGAATGAATGTTGTTTCATGCTACATTCCAGCGAAGATCGAGTCTATATGGATCGTACAATTCATACATTTCTTTAGACCCACACCGTCCATTGGCGATTCACACAGTACGATGGTACACATTCAGCCTTATCACACGTTGCAACCACCAAATAACCATTTTAGTCCTAAGCATAATGTTAAAGCATGGGAGTTAAGATGGTCTTAGATGTATGGCATAGGGTCAAGGAATCCCCACACCGGAATCCCAAGTGGGGACAATCACAGATTTTAAGTGCATGGTTTTACGCCGATCTGAAAGTTGTATAAACATTGTGTGCTGTAACGAAACTCAGTCGATGATCTTACGTTAACGGGCAGTGGGGTAAGCTAGTGGTTTAAGCGTTGGCTCGTCACGGCGAAGGCCCGGGTTCGATTCCCCATATGGGTACAATGTGTTGCCCCGTCCTTAGCTTGTAGCTCTGAACTTCAACCTCTATAACATTATTTTCATGAATATACAATTGTGCACGGGTCTCCCGGAAGATAAAGTTAAAACACGGACAAGGGAAAGTCGTGTTGTGACATTATTTTGTGGATATCTTATATGTGATATCGAAGCAAGGGATGGCTAATATGATCGATAATCGGAAATATCGTCGATAGGAAAAATGTTTAATGATCATCGACAGGAAAAAAGTGATCGACAACATGGTACATGATTTATGTGATAGAAAAAAAGTTTTAATTTTCTCAAACAATATAAATGTAGGACTTTAATCATGGTCTGCTTCTAAATTATGTTTTTTGAAAACCCATGCAAAACCCATGTGACCACTCACCAATGATGTCAAGTATATAATTTCTTTCAGACATTTTTTACATTTTTGCTCAAAGTTACACCTCCGATATTTATCGATTCAGTGAACGATTATCGATGTCTATGATCTCTATCGATAACCAGCCCTAATGTGGCTGCCTACATCATGGTGGTGGGCAGAGGATGACGGAATGTATTCCTGATTGTATTGAGTGATTGTATTGAGTGAGTTAGTGAGTGAGTCTGGTTAAAATTATGCAACCTTTAGCAATATTGAAGCAATATCACGGTGGGACACCACAAGTGGTCAGAATTGATCAACCCATGCTTGTCGTTTGAGGCGACTAACGGGATCGGGTGGTCAGGCTGGCTTACTTGGTTGACACTGACACATGTCATTGTACCCCAGTTGCGTAGATCGATGCTCCTGCCGTTGATCACTGGATTGTCTGGTCCAAACTCCATTATTTACAGACCACCGCCATATAGCTGTAATACTGCTGAGCTAGTGCGACGTTAAACAACCAATTCAACCAACAAACAAACCAACAAACCTATTTAGGACGCATACCGCAAAATGTATTCCTTCTCATCACAATGTTATTCGTGAACTAATAATACACACATTTATTTATTTATTTTTTTTTTTTTGTTGATCACTCCTCTCGTATTACGAACATATTGCATCGATCGAGTATTCCTGCGTTCAAACAACGTAACATTAATTTATCGAGTCCTTGCGGAGGACGATGAGGTAAAACGATCCACAAATATTTGCCGTCGTTGTGTATACCTGGACTCACAAAACATGGCCACCACAAGATAATACATATGAATCGTCACTCACAATGGTCAACTACGCTCCACAATGGTCAACTATGCTGTTACGTCCCGTTCCAGTATCACGAGCATGGCTAGATGACGCTGTTCCATGGCATTATTTCCGGAAGGCAACATGCCTTTCAGACCAAGATCGACCGTTAAAATCGCTTGTGTGATAGTGTAAAATATTTATCGCAAGCGTTTGAAAGACGAGGTTGTTTGTCGATACTGTAAACGTGAGTACTCATTCCGGGAGCACAACTCCCGTATAACATGACTTGGAGGGAGAGGCAGACAAGACGTACACCGGTCGCTAGAGACTTCGTGGGAGACACGTGATCTTCACTTCCGGTATTGATACTTGCAACATGCATATGCAGTCAAACACCGATTTGTCTAACCTCTATGTGTCGAACTTAGGTCAGTCTCGAAGTAGAAGGTCCTCGTGGAACTTACTAGTATTTAGTTACTTACTGGGTCATTGTGCGGTTGTATCGAATCTCGAACAACTCGAGGTATATATGTTCGTAAATCCCCTCAACATCGTTAGATAGTTAGCAGTGGAGAAACTAGCGCCATGCTGGGTTCTGACTTCTGACACCAGTCAGAAAATGCATTGTGCGGTTGTATCGAATCTCGAACAACTCGAGGTATATATGTTCGTAAATCCCCTCAACATCGTTAGATAATTAGTAGAAGAGAAACTAGCGCCATGCTGGGTTCTGACTTCTGACACCAGTCAGAAAATGCAATACTTGGAGACGAGGTTTAGTGAAAATGTGTGACAAGGAGCTGCAAAGTTTCGAATGTCGAAACATTCGAAATGCAAAAGGTTCACACAACATTTACATAAAGTAAAAAAAAAACCGAGCATATTAATTAATCTCTGAAGTGACACGTGACCAGCTGTGAATTGTACTGGATACACCAGTGTCTTGTCATTGTCTGTCACAATGTCACATCGTTAGAATCATGCACTCGTTATCTGCCCCTAGTCTGTCTCACAGTCCCTGAACCAAATTAATTTCCCTACTGCCAAGCCCTCTCTGCAGTGCTAAAGCCCTAAATAAAGCAAGTCTAGATTTCCTCAGGTTCTGAATCTCTGGTCTCCCTAGGGCTCCTTTTCAATATAAATGGGCTTGTTTGTTACTATCAAAATTATATATATTTAGAGACTAAGCCTTAGTCTAATCTGTCCCCTACCCCACCACTTACCACACCCACACCCACAACCCCGAGACTGATATACAATGTACCCGGACTGTTAAAACAATGAAACCGTTCGATAAAGTTTGAAACTTAGAATTGTACGAATTTTGGAGCAATCAAAACATGTTCAACATTATGTAAAAACGCATGCTATAAAAACTGCATTGAATTGTTAATGAATTTGTCATAAATCAAATGTCATGGCTGCCGATGTGGCGTCAAGCGTACTGAGACTAGGGATCGACATATCGGCCTTGGAAAGGGAGGTGTGGGGGGTGTGAGTATTTGTCCGTGTGTAGATGTTGTGTTAGCTAAGATGTGTAAACGGATGTTTGTTTCGGTAGAGTTTTATATATGTTACAGTCAATCTGTCAAACCATCATTTGGTCAAAAATGACTGAAACGATCAGTCAGTTGGTCGAAAATGGTCAAAAGACTAACATTCTAAGTCATTTGACCGAATGACTAAAATTTTCGACCAGTCATTTGACCAAGTGACTTAATCGTCGACTTCTTCAAGGGGGTCAGTCTCACGGGTCTCAGACTGCTCTAGGTGGGAACTGGTAGCTGCAAGTAGGTCATCCTCTGCAGCTTGTACAGAATGTCATCAGGAAGTGGTGTTGATCGCAATCCAACCTTGGCCTCCATTCCATATCAAAAAAATAATCACCTGTGTATCCTAGCCCCTATGGGTAATAAAAAGCGATATCTACAAGTAGTATCAATATTGTAGATATCGCAACAATTGAACTGTCAACATGCTATTACATCATCAGTTAATGCTCACAAAGCTTTGACATCACTAAGAACACAGCTGACAATGCTACGACGTCGCAAAGTTGATGACATCACAATGCTATGATGTCATGAAGCTGATGACGTCACAATTCTATAGCCTTGCTGAGATCACTGCTCAAGAGGCCTAATGGCAGTTTTGTATTCAGCTAAATTCATTCTTTTACTGATAACTGATGAAGAATGATTTTGGATGATACGTAAAATCTCGCCCTCGTGTCTTCTGATATCAATCATATCAACACTCGTTGAATAAAGTGAAAACATCTTCAGCAAGCCTCGGATGTTTGTAACTTTAATCAACTCGTGTTGATATAGATAATCAATATCAGAAGACACTTGGGTGACTCCATGTTCACCTCACTGCATCATTGCAATATCCGGGTTAGAACTGATCTTCAGTAACCCATGATTGTCGTAAAAGGAGACTAAGGGGATCGGTGGTCAGGCTCGCTGACTTGGTTGACACATGTCATCGTATCCCAAAAGCATACGTAGATCGATGCTCATGCTGTTGATCATTCGATTGTCTGGTCCAGACTCGATTATTTACAGACCGCATACTCCGGAAACTACCACATTGGGTTTTTGTGATCCGATAAGCATTGCATTTTTACAAGCCAGTATACTGGAAGATAACTATACTTTCTCTTCACTCTCAAATCTGTTGTTTAAATCTGAGACTTAATTTCATTCTATAATATCACCTGTTAAAATGTGCAACTGTAACTTTCGAGTATAAAGAATAGAGTCTGACTTTCCACCCTAATGAAGTCTGTTGTACCACATCTATCTAGAGTTTTTATCTCTCAACATTGTACACGCTATTTGTAGTTAGATGGTCCGTGATCAATGCAGCTATGGTAACGGTAATACAGTGGCTCTGAGGCGGCATTAGCGACATGTTCTATTTTTAGATCAAAATGGCAGCCACGAATAACTCGTGAAAGGAAGGTAGGGATTCTCTTTTCGTCAAGTTTAATGTTTAGACTGTGTTCATAATGTACTAGATTGCTATGTCATGTGTCTATTTTGCTTCTTATTGGTCCACACACTCCTGAATGTCAGTTGACACAATATCCGACGCCTCCATTAGATGTAAGAGATAGTTATTCGTACTTTCTATTTCATTTTAACTTTGCAGGTTAATTCAGCGTAAACCTCAACACTTAAATCACAGTAGAGTATATAAATTTAATTTGATATCGAAATACAATTACCATTACATGTCATACTTTTCACTTTGCGAATGAATATGATCTGATTTTAAATAGATTGGTTTCATAACAAGATGGACCTTAATTAGCATGATGTTGTTTATGGTAAAGAAAGGAATAAATAATTTGTTTATCACACATTCTGGAATAACCTTTGACTTTTCATGATTTTTAAAAGGAAGGACGTCTTTAGTAAACCTAGTCTGTTATTGAACTATTATTCCGTTTGCATAGTATGTGTAATACGTGAGTGTGCTCTTAGCGTCGGAATGGCTAGTCGACTGTGGCGCTGCTCTTGTGGAGATTTACTGAGAGCAGAGTAGCTGCCTGTGCACTGCAGGCATCAGGGCATTCTCTCAGACGATTCTAGTCCGGATGGTAAATACCATACATATGCCTGATATCATACACATAAATAAATATTCAAATATCTTTGTGTCGGTTGTTTGTTCACTCTACAGACTCTTCACTTTGGGGGAGGCCCAAGATCTATTTTTAGGTATTAAGCGTTTGTTATGGACGATTTGGTTGGTAGTCTCTCCATGACTCTGCGCCGTGTACGGGTGGTTCTTGTCAAATCTTGGTCCAGCCTGGTTCCTGGGATCTGCTGCGCTACGCTTAGTGTCGAGGTGAGGTGAGGTGAAATTAGGTTTAACGTCGTGCTTGAGAATATTTCGCTCATATGACGACGTGCATGCGTGCGATGTGTATGTGCGGCTGCTTGTACTAGCCCAGACTAAAGCTGGTTTTATAGTGCTAGCTCACTGAGATACCATGCCGCAGTGAAGCATGAATACCCCACTCAGACACATTATACTGAATCCGAGCCGACCAGTCCTTGTTGTACCCATTAATGCCGAGCGCCAGGCAGGGACCAACAAGTACCATATTTAAACGTCTTTTGGTATGACGGGGCCGGGGATCGAACCCGCGACCTTTCGCTCGGTGTCGAAAGACACCCCCGGAACAGATCGCCCATAGCCACAGGCCCGCGTATATATATATATATTTGAGATCGTGATCTTGAACTTAGTGACATTCAGATGGGAATGCACTTTGACAAGTAAGAAAAAGAGATAATAAATTATATGTAGAAATGATGATTGCATTATGGTGACAGGACTGACTCACCTTTCTTTGATGAGCATAAAAGGTATCTTTAACGACATGGACAAATTCATTATTCTTTGTTTTTTCATACTCAATATATGATTTGTTTTTGGTTTTGTTTTATTTCTTCAGAATTATACCTTTAAGAGCTTTTTGTTATATTGTGTGATTTTAATGATAGTTCAACAGTATCTTAGATATATTTGTTGATACTTTGTAAAGCACAGAGCTGTTACTGTTAAACAGGCATTTTGCTGATCTAGATGGAAAGTGCCGACTTTTGTTTCCTTGTAATAGCTTTTCATACATACAGTGCCATCCAAACGTTTATATGATCTTCAAATGATATATGTTAAATCTGGAAAACCATACTTCGGGTAAAATTACCTTTAATTGGTCCAGAGGGACCACAGATGCTTTAAATATGCGAAAACTGAAAGAATACTATCATATGAAAGAACTGTTGCCACTTTTAATTAAACACATTGCCTTTAATGTTTAATCAAGCTGTCATCCGTACCATGAGGAAACTTTATATAAATTTATCGATGCTCAATTTTGAAACATTGCCAGTTATTTGTAGAAAAGATTGAATGACACTATATTGTTAAAGAGGTTGCTATATATACCTGAAATGAAGAAATTTATCAGCGGGATCCTTTATTTTGAAGCGACTTATATTTATGACATCGCAGGCAATATCCTAAATTCTGAATAGTCATTTCTAACCACGGGTATGAGGAATATGTTGCTTGAAAGAAATTGATTTGAAAGACGATGTTGCCATGTTGACTTTATGATAATTGCCATGCTTGCTGTTTGAAGTTTTCTGTAGGGTATTGGCCGAGAAAGAAGGTCAATGTTATTAGAACGGAAGTACAAACAGCTCTTTTGGTACCATGGGATCGTTTTGGTTTTTTTGTATTTCGTAAACCAGAAGGGAGGTCATTCAATCAAAAATCCTCCTAACCTTGTTAAGTCAAAATATTGCATGAAATTCGATTATTTAATGATAAAAATGAGGTATGAAACAGTCAATACATTCACAAAAGTAAATAATGAAGACATTAGATGGTTACAGAATAAGACTAAATTGTTTACTTTTCAGAAATTAAACGATTCTGGCAAACAGTAAATAAGACTGGTTCTCCTTCGTACACGATGGACACTACTCCTCTGCTATCAGAACCAGAGGATGGATCCATCCAAGAATCCCCGTATCACCTTCCACAGCCTCTTCGGGGTCCATCTCTGGATGAATTAGCTGGATGTGGTGTTGATGTTAGAAGCCCCGGTGACGACATTACAACGACGGGCATCGACTTCAGGGACTACACGTCTCTCAGCACGAATGTCCAGCTGGACAGATTGAAAGAACACGAAGAACACGAACCAACTGTGAGAAAAGTCGTTTTTTCTCCTGATGCGACGACTGCTGATGCAGTTCCTTTGGACATCCCAAGACGTAACCCCATTCGTTCAGCATCAACATACAGTAATCAGGATCTCAGTGACCTTGACAGCGTATCTACTTCCGCTCGTCACGATGGCCACTACACCTCTGCCAGTATCGAAGACAGGCACTCGAGACCTGTTCCATCTTTTAGAGCAGGTAAGACGTTAGACATCCTATGTTTCCTGGGATATGGGTAGTGGTAACCGTAGTTTCTTACATGCATATTTCTTCGTTTATGAAGGCATATAATGCGCTTTGGGGAATAAATACAAGATTGATTTCCAAAAAAAAAATAGGAAATCTTCACCAAAGACAGAGTCGACTACCATGTGTTATTGAATCAGTATCAAATGTCGATGATACCAGGTGTTCAAGGAAAGAGGGGTATCATGAAATAAACACAAGGGAAATTAAATGCTTCTAAAAAAGAGGGGCGGTGGGGTAGCCTAGTGGTTAAAACGTTGGCTCGTCACGCCGAAGCCCCGGGTTCGATTCCCCACATGGGCACAATGTGTGAAGCCCATTTCTGGTGTCCCCCGCCGTGATGTTGCTGGAATATTGCTAAAAGCGGCGTAAAACTAAACTCAGTCAGTCAGTCAGTCTAAAAAAGAACGAAACATATCTTCAAAATTCGAAAATAACCAAGGCCTGCATGCCACTGTCCCAATGAGACAGTAAAGACAGCAGTTCTGGCACATGCAACTGACGTACTTATATGTTGAATACATTGAACACATCGTCAATGAACTTTATTACACATATATTTTGAATTTTCCTTTTTTGATGGGTAAAAGATGTGCCGGGCTGCTGACAGAAACATTTGATCATTGGTTCAAATCCCAGATTGGTTTGTCAGACATTCACCATATGAAGCAGACCGTTATAAAGCTGTTCGGTACAGTGTTAAACCAACCTTACTGATCTTTCAAGATGACCAAATAATGACCTTACAGGCACAACGGGCGGTGGGGTATCACAGTGTTAAAGCGTAAAGAGTGAGGGTTCGATTGCCCACACACTCGCTCACTCACTCACTCACTCACAGGCACAGGAGACGTGACAACCCAGCCTCCATCTGGTGAGATAATAAACGCGGACGAATCTGTACATCCACCACACTGGACAAGTGTTGCCCCTCCGCTCTCAGAAGGAAAGAGGTACCACGTCTTCTTTTCCTATGAAATCTCCGACAGAGAGTGGGTGGAGGAGGTCACCAGACGTCTAGAGTCGCCAGAGATGGGCTTCAGATGCAGCATGCACGAGAGAGACTTTCACGGAGGTAAGCGTATCATTGAAAACATCACCGAACACATCCGGCTGTCGGAGAAGACGGTGTTGGTGCTGTCTCCAGACTTCATTCAGAGTCACTGGTGCATGTTTGAGATTGAGATGGGGATGATCCTGAGCATGGAGGAGAGCCAGCTGCTGGTGGTGCCTGTGATGGTGAAGCGATGCTTTGTACCCGACAGTATCAAGACCCTCACCTACATTGATGCAACTCCTGGTAATGACTGGTGGCAGCGGTTCATTGGGGCCATAGTTTCTAAAGGTGTGTTTCCTGATCCTGAAACTCTAAATACCTTAGTAGATACTGATCTAAATAATTACATTCCATACATTATCTTCCCAATACAACAATCACTATATTTGTTCAATTAAATAGTAATTGGACATTTTCGCCTAAAAGAAATGGATAAAATCCTATTTCTCATATCATCTCAATCTGTATACTTTTCAAGGAATATGTCGCGAAATTACTTAAATTTACTGAAACCGAACCATATACCATTTTAGAGGACCTACGCGGTAACCTGACGGGTACAAAAGAATTGAGAATCGAGCCTCGTCACGGTAAGGCAGCTTTATAACGGTAAGGCATAATGTACTGTCCTAATGGTGATACATCCGACGGTATAAATGTGTACCAGTTACTGATAATGATATTGTTACCATATTAAGGACATTTTAATCGTATATTAAAAATCAACAAACCTGAAAGAAACATAGTATTCCCAGGAAATATCGAGAAAGTTGTTTTGGCAAATATCTAATATATGTATGTAAACTATAGTCGTTTTATTTCAAGGAATATATTAAGATATGATTCTCTTACAGTCTAAGTGTCTTTTCAGTAGTTTGTGAGACCTCCTTTCCATGCAATACATGACATACCCATGAAAGTTTGTAGGAAATTGCGTAACAGCGTATCCCGATATTCGACCACTTCTCTGTTCATATCCTCAACATGTCTAAGTCCTCTTTGGTTTATTCTGCCCTTCATTAGTCCCCGCACATTCTCAATAGGGTTAAGATCTGTGCTTGTAGCTGGGCCAGTTTAAAATTTGAACATCATTTTCGTGCGACAACCACTGTTTTGTGTTGCCCGCATTATCAAAATGGAAAATCCAATTACCTTCATACACTGTTCGGGCCGTTGGAAGGAGGTGATCACTTAAGATGTCAACATATCGTTCCTTCGTCAAATTTCCAATGAAAATACACAACGGCGTCACTCCACGTGATATCCTACCCCACTGGTTAAATTTCGGGATATGTTTTGGGTGTTAGTAGATCGGTTTCACGGTCTCTTTTGTCCAAGATTTTTACACAGTTCGGAAAAAGCCAGACAGAACTTTCATCAAAAAAGAAAACATTATCCCAATCTTGATTTTCGTGAGCACTACACCAGTTTAAACATCTTTCTTTCTTTCATCGATTGTGAGGGAATTCCCACAGGAGCTTGTAACGCTAAAAACTGCCGTCAAGGTGTGTACTGTCACTATCGGGGTCTTAGTACTATATAAAAGGAAAGGGATGTAACGAGGTCAACACACCAAGTTCGTTTCAGGGCGAATTCAACAATGCTCACTGTATTTATCCCAGTTAAAGTATGCACACATTTTCAAGCCAGTAGATTTACCGACAAAATAAGACATACAGCACAAAAGTCGAAGCCGTACTTTGGGAGCTAGGGTCTTCGGAAGCTCGGAAATCGTGATTTCTCGATTCCGAGCCAAAATCCCTGCTCAGAATTTGTAGTGGTAACTCACCAACTTTCTTGTTTATTTCACAGTTTACACAAACGACATGCACCAAAACATGTCGAACTGATGGCACCTGTCAGCGCGCTAGTCGCCATTCTTTCTGAGACACTTACACCTCACTGTCATAATGAGTTTACGTTCATTTATTCATCGCAAACTGAATCGTGTCGTGCCCGTTCGCCATTGACGACCTTATTATTTTGTAGGTAAATCTCGCAGGCGATCCGTGCAGTGCAGTTGTGTGCAGTTGAGCCTTTTATTTCAGAAACCATTACAACCTTCAAGCGTCCTTCACAAAACTCTCGAGAGTTATACCCTTTATGCTCTCCTTGCATACCGCTAAAGAAAACGGAGTTATCTCCCTTACACCAATGTTTAACTAAACATATTTTGTACCTTATTACGATATTTCACAGTACTTACTAAACTTATTGGCCTTCCAGCCCCTGTCTTGTGCTCAATCCCAACTCCTGACTGAATATTCTTCAAAGTTCTGTATACTGTAGACAGAGGAATGTCATGTCTACCAGCTAACTCTTTTGCATTAGTCTTATCCCTTTCAAAATCATCTAGAACGAGGTTTCTTGCCTCTTCTGCTGTCAGACCTTACATGTCAACAAAGGAAGCCGTCTGCCACACCAGGGGAGATAACTGTTGATATAGTAAGGTTCATCATCAAGCCTGCAAGAGTTACCTCCCATATTGAGTACCTTATTTCATAATGTAACACCTTTTTTCTAAATTCCGTTATCAGTATTTACAAAGATTTTCTCAATAACTTCTGGGAAAACTGTACATGAATTTATGTACGTGTTGTCCAGTTGTCAATATACGTTGAAAGTATCTGAGGTGATAGTGGTGCTATTTGATAGAGAAGATCACTTCACTACTGTTTGTCTTTAGGAAATATGGATGCGTTGGTTGAGCTATCTTCCAACTTCAAGTGTCCCTTGGGAGAACAGTTGAGGACCCCTTATATACCCGAGCCGTTACTGAGACAGGGTGTTCAGGTATGTTTTTGTTACTGATATGGGGTGTCCAAGTGTTGGTATCTTGCTGATACCAGTTATACAGTTGTGTATGTTGCTCAGGCCCAATATCCAGGATTGTTTCTGTTGCTGAGACCCAGTATCAGGTCTGTATTTGTTGCTGATACCAGGTATCCAGGTGTGTGTTTGTTGCTGATACGAGATATACAGGTATACTAAACGCCAAAAGAAACGTTACCCTCCTTCCTTAATGACGGAGGTACCTATTTTCAGCTGGCGTTGTGATGCGTGGACGTCCACTTCTTGGTCTGTCTACGGTGATCCCAGTCTGTCTAAAGCCCTGAATACGTCTTATAACCGTGATACGGTGGCATCCGAGGGCGTTGGCAACAGCATTGTATGTCGACCCCATCTGTACCATCCCATTGACTCTTTCTCTCCCTTCAGCTGTTAATCGTGGCATATTTCTCGTACTTGTGTATCAGATCATGTCTTCTAGGCTCTCTTTATACCCTATGCAATCATTCTGCATGTGAAATGGATGTAAATACTGTTTGAATATTGCTGCGTTTGGGCGATTGATATTGCCATGTGTAAAATGGAAATAGAAAAATGTTAGTTTGCAAGCAAAAATGTTAACAAAGATAATTGTAGATGTTCCTAAACATGTTTTCACAATATCAAAGACAGGTTTTACTTGTTTTCACTAATGCAAATCAGCAGAAAATGTTTTAAAAGACAAAAATCATAGCAATGATTATTTTACAAATTTACAAACTCTACAACAGTTGTTTCTTGTTTTAATAGTTGAAAAATGGTGACTTTAAATGGTTTCTCATTTTTCCCAAAGCAGAATTTAATTTCAACCTTTCTTTTGGACATCAACATCACTATTATTGGTTTATTTCGGCATGGACGAATATAGGACAATTAAACTCTTCTGAAAAAGATGCATTTCACCCAAATACGAATGCATTTGAGAATTTATTTTCGTGATTTGCATAAAGCTGTGTTGTTAAGCTTTATTGTAAACTAAAACCTTCTAAAAATCATTGGTAGTTTTCAGTAATTCATAAAGGTAGGTGGGTGACGTTTCCTTTGGCGTCTAGTGCATGTGTTTGTTGCTGAGACCGGTTATACAGGTGTGTGTTTGTTGCTGAGACCCGTTATACAGAGGTGTTTTTGTTGCTGAGGCCCGGTATCCAGGTGTGTGTTTGTTGCTTACACCCAGTATACAGGTGTGTGTGTGCTCCTGACACCCAGTATCTAGGTGTTGTTGTTGATACCAGGTATTCAGGTGTGTGCTTGTTGTTGAGACTCTGTATCAGGTGTGTATGTTGCAGACACCTAGTATCCAGGTGTGTGTTTGTTCCTGAGATGCAGTATCAGCTGGGTGTGTGTTGCTGAAACCAGGTATAGAGGTGTGTGTTTGTTGCTAAGACCCAGTATCCAGGTGTGTGTTTGTTGCTGATACCAGGTATCCAGGTGTGTGTTTGTTGCTGACACCCAGTATCGAAGTGGGTGTATGTTGCTGATACCAGGTATCCAGGCGTGTTTGTTGCTGATACCAGGTATCCAGGTGTGTGTTTGTTGCTGATACCAGGTATCCAGGAGTGTGTTTGTTGCTGATACCAGGTATCCAGGTGTGTGTTTGTTGCTGACACCAAAATGTGTATGTTGCTGACACCCAGTATCGAGGCAGGTGTATGTTGCTGATACCAGGTATCCAGTTGTGTGTGTAGGTTCCTGACACCCAGTATCAAGTGTGTGTATGTTGGTGACGACCGGTATCAGGTATGTGTTTGTTGCTGACAACCAGTATCCAGATGTGTGTATGTTGCTGACACCCAGTATCCAGGTGTGTGTATGTTGCTGACACCCAGTATCCAGGTGTGTGTTTGTTGCTGACAACCGGTATCAGGTATGTGTTTGTTGCTTACACCCAGTATCCTGGTGTGTGTATGTTGGTAACACCCAGTATCCAGGCGTGTGTATGTTGCTGACACCCAGTATCAGGTATGCGTTTGTTGGTGACACCCTGTATCAGGTATGTGTTTGTTGCTGACGACCAGTATCCAGGTGTGTGTTTGTTGCTTACACCCAGTATCCAGGTGTGTGTATGTTGCTGACACCCAGTATCCTGGTGTGTGTATGTTGCTGACACCCAGTATCCAGGTGTGTGTTTGTTGCTGACAACCGGTATCAGGTATGTGTTTGTTGCTTACACCCAGTATCCAGGTGTGTGTATGTTGCTGACACCCAGTATCCAGGTGTGTGTATGTTGCTGACACCCGGTATCCTGGTGTGTGTATGTTGCTGACACCCAGGATCCAGGTGTGTGTTTGTTGCTGACAACCGGTATCAGGTGTGTGTATGTTGGTAACATCCAGTAATCAGGTGTGTGTATGTTGCTGACACCCAGTATCAGGTATGTGTTTGTTGGTGACACCCTGTATCAGGTATGTGTTTGTTGCTGACGACCAGTATCCAGGTGTGTGTATGTTGCTGACACCCAGTATCCAGGCGTGTGTATGTCGCTGACACCCGGTATCAGGTATGTGTTTGTTGGTGACACCCAGTATCAGGTATGTGTTTGTTGCTGACACCTTGTATCCGAGTGTGTGTATGTTGCTGACACCCAGTATCATGGTGTGTGTATGTTGCTGACACCCAGTATCCAGGTGTGTGTATGTTGCTGACACCCAGTATCCAGTTGTATGTATGCTGCTTACACCCAGTATCCAGATGTGTGTATGTTGCTGACACCCAATATCCTGGTGTGTGTATGCTGCTGACACCCACTATCCAGTTGTGTGTATGTTGGTAACACCCAGTATCCAGGTGTGTGTATGTTGCTGACACCCAGTATCAGGTATGTGTTTGTTGGTGACACCCTGTATCAGGTATGTGTTTGTTGCTGACGACCAGTATCATGGTGTGTTTGTTGCTTACACCCAGTATCCAGGTGTGTGTATGTTGCTGACACCCAGTATCCAGGCGTGTGTATGTCGCTGACACCCGGTATCAGGTATGTGTTTGTTGGTGACACCCAGTATCAGGTATGTGTTTGTTGCTGACACCTTGTATCCGAGTGTGTGTATGTTGCTGACACCCAGTATCATGGTGTGTGTATGTTGCTGACACCCAGTATCCAGGTGTGTGTATGTTGCTGACACCCAGTATCCAGTTGTATGTATGTTGCTTACACCCAGTATCCAGATGTGTGTATGTTGCTGACACCCAATATCCTGGTGTGTGTATGCTGCTGACACCCACTATCCAGTTGTGTGTATGTTGGTAACACCCAGTATCCAGGTGTGTGTATGTTGCTGACACCCAGTATCAGGTATGTGTTTGTTGGCGACACCCTGTATCAGGTATGTGTTTGTTGCTGACGACCAGTATCCAGGTGTGTGTATGTTGCTGACACCCAGTATCCAGGTGTGTGTTTGTTGCTGACACCCAGTATCCGGGTGTGTGTATGTTGCTGACACCCAGTATCCAGGTGTGTGTATGTTGCTGACACCCAGTATCCAGGTGTGTGTATGTTGCTGACACCCGGTATCCTGGTGTGTGTATGTTGCTGACACCCAGTATCCTGGTGTGTGTATGTTGCTAACACCCAGTATCCTGGTGTGTGTATGTTGCTGAGAGTCAGGTATCTACTGAGACCAGGTGTTCAGATGTGTTTTTCTTATTGTGGATGGGTGTTTATATTGCTAATCAGGACTCATAGGTTTTCTTATATCCCATGGATAACACAGTGAAGGATATCTGTAGTGTTCGGGCAACACATTCACATTGTTTGTCACTTGTAAGGCGTAATCAAAACACTTTTCAAAATATGTACGTTTGGGGGATTTATTCTAGGTGTAGAGCCACTTTATTCATCTGGCCATTTACTTGTTCCTTCTTGGGCTGCCTGCGCAGGTGCCACCAGATGAGTTTCAACAATCGATGGACATCATTCGATCTGCAAGGTGCTGGTGTGCAGTCCTCTGTGACAACGGACCATGTTGTGTGCCAACCTTCACGATCCTCCTTCTAGCGGGAATCTCTACTGTAGCGCTGGGGGTGATAGCAAAAGGAGAGCCACCGCTAATAATGATATTTCCAGTGTTTTTCACATCTCTCTGGCTGTTCTTCGCTTTAACATTTTGCATTCAGAGACGAATAGTAAGTATATTCATATTATATCTGGTAATGTTACGTATAGTCAAATAGCTTCTCGGATTCCGTGAACTTTTTTGATGAAAGCAAATCATATAATCTTTGTGTTCATTACTTAAAGGAGTCTATTTTTTTTTTATTCCAATCTGAATATTAATGCGAAAGCTAAAATTTAACCAGGAACTGAAAAATGTTGCAAAAACACGGAACAAAACAATGGTATTCATATCAAATACCATGCAGGAATTTTTTTCAAAATATATCCTTTCAAGTATAGTATTTGTTATAGTATGTCAGTGTGGTTGTGAGGGAATATTGTAAAAATAATACATGTTGTAAGGGGTGTGTGTGTGTGTGAGGGCATTTTGGTCGGCCGTTATGTTTTTATGACGTCACATATGTGTGACCTTTGTGTGACCTAATCGACTGTTGAACCCTTAAGCCCCCTTTGGGAGTCTCCTTCCGACCCAGGTGTGTGTGACCTTCAGGTTGACCTTGGTAGTCTGTGATTATTATTCAATTATTTTATGAGTTTGCCGACTCGAGTGTTCACACAGCAAAATCTCTTTTCAACGTAGAATTAATATTACATAATGCATATGAGGGGAAATTAGTTGCTATTTATTAGGTCAAAAGCTGTGAAAATATCAGAGCGCATTTTGTTAAATAAAAGGTATCACTAGCCAGTTTAAAATATGCTGTCATTGGTGATTTGGTACACAAGGAACAACTCCGAAGTTCTGAGTATTTATTTTACATATCTGTGAACAATAAACGATTGTAGCTGTTAGCAAATAAAATTCATGCGCCATGTGGGCCTGTATATGATTATTGCGTGCGTGAATGGAGGGTGCAGTCTATGCACTACTACTACTACTAAGAGCAGAATCGCTTGCTCGCTGAGTGGGGCCGTAACTGAAGAGACATGTGACAGCTGTGATTGGGTGAAATAGTATAAGGTGTTATGTTTGTTAAAATCACCTCCATCCAGTCATTAAAACTGACCACCATTTTAAGTATTTAATGCTGTCATTTGTATGACCATAACTTATGCTTATGCGAGAACAGATATGTTCAAGCAGGTGACAGTTGGTGCGGACCTGGGAGGGTTGATGTGTTTAGCTTCCTGTTGTGTGACTTCCTGTGCTCGCAAAGTTAGCCTGTTCAAGTTGACCAGAAATTGATTTTATTGTAATTTAAAGGCCAGACTGTAATCATGTGTACATGGAATGGTCGTTGATAATTTTCAGCGTGGTGGTGAATGTAGTGTTACGAATGGTCAGCTTCCGTTGTTTAACGGTCAGACTGTAATCATGAGTACATGGCATGGCTGTCGATAATTTTCAATGTGATGTTGAATGTATGCTGACAAGTGGTCAGCTTCCGCTATGTAGGGAGAGAAGTGTCTGACCGGAATTAAATACAGGAAATAGTAAGCAGTTTAGGACTGATGGTCACAGAATATCTCAAGTAGGGTGTCAACTGGTTGTGCAGTGATGAAATGATTAAGCATTTGTCATATATATTACTGAATAAAAAAAACAAACCTACATGTGTTCCTTCTGTAAAACATTCCAATGCTTTTACTCAAAATTTAAAATTGAACTTTACTCTCAAACTGCAAACATAAAAAAAAACCCACCCATGAATGCTATATATGACATTTTTTTTGACATCATGTGACATTTGACATCATGTGACATAGGTTACTCACATGTCGTTAGCCACCTAATTCCACAGACAGTACAATGAAATACTGGTGTAAGCTTCTTGTGACTGTATTGTGTCGGGTATGAAGATGTTGGGGCCTCCCGGTGTTAAGAATTGTATTCTGTGTATTCAGTGACATAGGGAGGATTATTTATCAGTTGTAAAACAAAGATTTATACAACGAACAGTTGTCTCATGTCAGTCCTCCAGCAATCCATTAAGTGAGTGAGTGAGTTTAGTTTTATCTTACACTCAGTAATATCGCAGTTATATGGTCTGTAAATAATCGAGTCTGGACCAGACAATCCAGTGATCAACAGCATGATCATCGATCTACCCGGACCTTCACGGGTACAATACGTTAAGAAACAAGAGAGATATACAGATTTCATTGTTTATAAGCTCTGTTTCAAATGAGTAGGCTTTAGGATAGGAGCTCTCCCAAATGTCTACTTCACATGTTGTGCTAATCGTCTTATTGTCCTTCCTCATCGTCCTGTCGAGAACCTTCACTTGTTTGTAGAGCCATATAATACGTTCAGGATAAGGTTTAATGTTCATCCGTTCTAAAAGATGCTTCACTATGTAGGTTTTCCCACAGGAGGTGGGCCCTGAGACGATCATGGTAAATGGGTGTATTAGTCTAAATTCTTCCAATGACTGGGTAGTACTCTCTGATGAATGTGGTTGCATCATAGGTGATCGTACTTGTGATGGTGGTGGTGGAGGAGGAAGAGCAGGTGCTTGTGGTGGTGGAGGAGGAGGAGGTGCTTGTGGTGGTGGTGGTGGCGGCTGCATTGCTCGTCTGTGTTGATTCCTGAGATGTCTAGGCATGGCATCCCTTCTGGAAAAATTGAAATTGCACACGGGACACGTTCTTGACTGCATGGTGGTCCGAGTCTAAATGGCAGGAAACCTGTCTACTGGCTGCTTTTATCTAAAAAGTCGTCTTCCGTTTCTTCATGGGACTCTGGGAGGAACGTTTTTTTCTAGCTTTAGATCCCCCATTCTCCTGCATCTGAATAAGAGGCTTGGCCTGTTCGACCACTTGTTGAGTAGGGGTAACAAAATTAATCTTAGGTTGCTCTGTGGTTTCTAGTTTTTGTTTGCCTTTCTTCCACTCTGGGTCATACAGTTCAATATAGGGGGAGGAATAGTCATATTAGTCACGGCGTTCTGATTTTTTAAAATCTATGTCCCAGGACAATATAGATATTTCCGTTAGTCCATTCCTCCACCTTTGGTCAAGATGTAATGGTTCATTCAAACCCACCTTGACATTAAAAGGTTTGTTGCTGGGATAGAGGTGTTCACTATCTGTACTTCTGACCGTAATGTATTTATCCATGTTTAGATTTAATCTTGGGGTTAGGTAACAAGTATCCCAAACTACTGCTGAGTAGTGCGGTCCACAAATTGGACCTTCCTTTGTCCAAGGACAAATTGACAATACACGTAATGACTACAATGTAAATAATAATGTTTTTCCCAAAAATGTCCAGGTGTCAGATGATGTACTCCGCATAAGAGATACTGCTGCTTCAGTGTCTTCCATCATAGACGACTTTAAAAACAGGTTACGTTGTGCTTTTATTCTGTTTCACATCACCTGGGATCCATGAATTGTATTTTGTAGACCAATGGAACCATTTCACTAACACTCCTCTTTTTGACAATGTCTTGAATTCTATACTCCTGATCTGGATTTTCTACCACTGCTTGTAGCTCTGATGAATAAAAGGCACCTTCAATAGGATCACCACCCCAATCTTTCAATATTTACATGTCATTTCCTTGAGACCAATATCTTCTTATTATTGTAAAAAAATCACCAGACTATTTCTCTTGATATTCTCTGTCAAAAGTTCTCTTCAGATGACTCACTCTGACTTTATCCCCCACTTTGAAAGTGAACTTCTTTTTACTCTGTTTCACCTGGCGGGGTTTAATCAAATACTGAGAGAGTCTCACTTCATCTTCATTTTTTGAGTTACACTAGCAGGAGACTGTCCTAAGGAACGATGTTTAGTGTGATTGTAACTCTTGACTACATCTGGTAAGATATCCATATATCTGTAGGTAAAGTGTTTCAACATGTATCGATACAATCTCATTTTAATGGTTTTAATCACTCTCTCAGTATAGGGGGCCTTGGTTTCATTCAGTGTAAACATTTGGGTTGCCTTGTGCTTTTTCAAAGAGGCTTTTACCCACCAATTCTTAAATTCTGATCCCATGTCGGATTGAAAAATACCAGGCCTACGATCTTGTGTCTTCCATAAATGGGTCAATGCTTTCACCACTTCTTGTCCCTTTGTAGATTTGAGTGGATACACCCATAGATATCGTGAAAATAGATCTATGATGACCAATAAATACTTCACACCATCGTTGTACTTTGAAAGTGATGTCTAAACCTTCCACCACATAGTGTCTTCTTGGAAATGTTCTCCAAACTTGATGAGTCATAGTATAGTTCTCCTGACCTTTGAGCCATTTCTTGATACGATGTAGACCAATTTTAAACTGACCCTCTGCTTTCACAGCTTCATACAACTTCTTGGGTCCAGAACAACTACTAGCGTGTTTTGGGGTCATAATAAATCCTATTCAAGTACTCTTCCCAAGGTGCCATCTCAAATACAACTGAACATGACTAACATGCATCATGCTATATTAACAAAACCCAAGACGAAAATACAATACAAGGTTTTTATTTATATCAAGTGTCATATATAGCATTCATGGATGTTTTTTTTTATGTTTGCAGTTTAAGAGCAAAGTTCAGTTTTAAGATTTTGAGTAAAAGCACTGGAAAGTTTTACAGGAGAACAAATGTAGGTTTGTTTTCTTATTCAGTAATATATATGACAAATGCTTAATCATTTCATCACTGCACAACCAGTTGACACCCTACTTGAGATATTCAGTGACCATCAGTCCTAAACTGCTTATTTAATTCCGGTCAGACACTTCTCTCCCTACATAACGGGAAGCTGACCACTTGTCAGCATACGTTCAACATCACATTGAAAACTATCGACAGCCATGCCATGTACTCATGATTACAGTCTGACCTTTAAACAACGGAAGCTGACCATTTGTGACACTACATTCACCACCACGCTGAAAATTATCAACGACCATTCCATGTACACATGATTACAGTCTGGCCTATAAATTACAATAAAACAATTTCTGGTCAACTTAAACAGGCTAACTTTGCGAGCACAGGAGGCCACACACAACAGGAAGCTAAACACATCAACCCTCCCAGGTCCGCACCAACTGTCACCTGCTTGAACATATCTGTTCTCGCATAAGCATAAGTCATGGTCATACAAATGACAGCATTAAATACTTAAAATGGTGGTCAGTTTTAATGACTGGATGGAGGTGATTTTAACAAACATAACACCTTATACTATTTCACCCAATCACAGCTGTCACATGTCTCTTCAGTTACGGCCCCACTCAGCGAGCAAGCGATTCTGCTCTTAGTAGTAGTAGTGCATAGACTGCACCCTCCATTCACGCACGCAATAATCATATACGGGCCCACATGGCGCATGAATTTTATTTGCTAACAGCTACAATCGTTTATTGTTCACAGATATGTAAAATAAATACTCAGAACTTCGGAGTTGTTCCTTGTGTACCAAATCACCAATGACAGCATATTTTAAACTGGCTAGTGATACCTTTTACTTAACAAAATGCGCTCTGATATTTTCACAGCTTTTGACCTAATAAATAGCAACTAATTTCCCCTCATTGTGTAATATTAATTCTACGTTGAAAAGAGATTTCGCTGTGTGAACACTCGGCAAACTGATAAAATAATTGAATAATAATCACAGACCACCAAGGTCAACCTGAAGGTCACACATACACACACACCTGGGTCGGAAGGAGACTCCCAAAGGGGGCTTAAGGGTTCTACAGTCGATTAGGTCACAAAAAGGTCACACATATGTGACGTCATAAAAAAAAATGGCCGACCAAAATTGGTTGTTTGGGCATATTCCCTACCCCACACAAAAGCGGTATGTAAAACGCCACTCACTCACTCGCCCAAGACTGACATTTACTTCCTGAAATATCTTATCTTATAGCAATGCCCAACAGAATGCCTACAAAGCCAGAGCTGAGACAACCTAGACTTTAATAATAATTTTACACTTGAGATAGATTCCTGTTTCAATTTATTCTCTGGGCTGTTGGAATCCAAAGAAAGATTTTTGGCGTCTTCATAGAATCTGTCTTTATGAAATCTATTCTCATCTAGATTGAGCCAAAACATCAACTCATCGCGAAATCCTTATAAATGATGGTGACATTTTGAATAATACTTGAATAATCTGTGTAAATAATTTGTACTCCCCGAAAATCGTCAAAATGTGATATAAGAACATATATTTTCATTCCAGAGACGGTCTCGACTCCGAAAAGCAGTTGCTGAAGTCAACGCGATATTTCTGAAGTACAACGTCATCGTAGGATATAAGATGCAAACGGCTGGTTGCATTTTGACCCGGACATATGTCAGTACTCGTAACGTTTTTTGAAATCGCATGTTCTCAACAGAGATCATTGCACTCTCTATCTGGCAATCACCTCAATTTCATTGCACCATTGGTACAGGGGTGGCCCAACAGCCTAGGGCATTGTAATTCGCCCTGCAAATTTACGTCTCTTTAGCGTACCTGAAGCATACAAGTTCGATTGTCCACATGGGTACAATGTATGAAGCCCATTTCTGGTGTCTCCAATACCCGACTCCCCCCCTCCAGTGATATTGGTGGAATACTGCTAAAAGCGGCGTAAAACTAAACTCACTCACACTCACCCATGATTTTTTAAAGTTTGTAAGTAAAGGGAGTGCTCACAGGATTCAAATAATGTTTAATTTTGTAACACTTTTGCCATGAGATCTCCTACATCAGGATGAATTGTGACATATTTGTTTTTCTTTTTTTGTCCGAAAAGGAAGACCGTATGTGTCTAATATTTTCACACCTAATTGGCCTTTCTGGAGCCCTTAGAACTCATCTCTTCTAAGGATTTTATTATTTTAAATGTGATGACTCTTCCTTATTCTTAATGGTAACTACATGTTGAGCAAGGGTCTTGGATATTCAATTTCTTTGTTAAAACGAAAGCGACCTTAGAATGATCTTTCTTGTTCATCATGTCTACTTGTTCATGCCATTTAATGAAGTAAACTTATTTTTTCATTATTAGATATAGTTCTGATGCTAATAATGCTGTGTTCTTGGTTCGAGTTAGTTTCACTTTGATAAAAAAGGACACTTCTTTCATAGAATACGTGTGTATACTTCCCATCAAAAGTTTAGACGTACGAGTGTCAATATAGCCACTTACTTCAGCCAGCTGTTCTTAACTAAATTTTGCAAAATATTCCATACTGCCTGAAGGTACTGTTTACACATGAACTGATGTATTGTTAAACAAATTCGTAAGGTCGGTAAGATTGTTGTCATGAGTTAAAAAAAAATTAAAAATCAGTGAAATTTGGCGAATTCTTAACAAAACTTTACACCAAAACGCAGATGTTCACATGCACGATATTTGCACATCCTTATCAGCAATTTGATGCATAATCCTCGTACAATTCATATGCATAAGGTTTGCAGTTGGTTCCCGCAAGATAGTTGTGAAATCAATGTTCGATACCATATATATATTCATAACATATAGTGAGTGTTTTAAGTGGGTCTAAACTTTTGATGGGAAGAGTATTAAGAAGTCCATCGCTATTTTCAGCTCCAATTTTGGTTTTATAATCCAACGGAATGCAAGGTACGTACGAAACTGTTCATGCTCTTTTCATTTTTAATGATGATATTGTATAACTTGAAAAGTGTACGTTGACATTCTTTGATGTAAAGTAATCATAAACATCCAGAATAGTCAGATTCGTCATGTTATATGATCTATACACAGATATAGTTGAGAGTAATAGTGCACACAATTTGATATCGATTATTGCTTTATAAGGTTCCCGGTTAACGTCAGTTGTGTAATCTCATAGTGATGTAAACTAGTGATACTAGTGACTCATGTTTGCAGTGTGTATTTCGTCGTTCCCCAGGTAACTGTTTACCTGTGAAGGTTGGAATGCTTGTCGCCAGAGGCGACAAACAAGATCAGGTGGTCAGGATCGCTGACTAGGTTGATGCATGAGGTATCCCCTTTGCATAGATCATTGCTCGTACTGTCAGTCACTGGATTGTCTGGTCCATTGTTTACAGACCGCCTGGATTATTTACATATCGCCGCCGTATAGCTGGAATATTGTCGTGTGCAGCGTTAAACAACAAACATACCAAAGAGAAAAGTTTTGATTACTTTCAGAACTTATTGGCCAATTTTCTGGAAGGAATTGAAGGAAGACATCTTGCATCTGGTTCAAATGCAGACAAGGTTAGTACTGTATTTATTTTGTTTGTTATATATGAATCATACCTTCTCTAGCTCATTTCTGACAATCACGATCCCAAACGTTCAGTAGATCAGAAGCAGTCGTAAAATCGTTAGCACCTTTTCAAAATTAATTTTCCTTGTTTTTGTGACGCAAATGAATTCAGTGAATCAATGTTGAGTTGGGTCAGTGATCCTCTCATTAAGGCTTAGGCCAGGGATATTGTTGGAAATGAATGGACCAAGGATGTAGTCAGTAAGGGTTGGGCCGAAGATGCTCTTGTAATGGCTGAGCTGCAGATGCAGTCATTTAAGGTTGGGCCGAGGATGTTCTTGTAATGGCGGGGCTGGAGATGCAGTCATTTAGGATTGGGCTAAGGATGCTCTAGTGATGACTGGCCCAGGGATGCAGTCAGTGGGGCTTGGGCCAAGGATGCTCTAGTGATGACTGGGCCAGGGATGCAGTCAGTGGGGCTTGGGCCAAGGATGCTCTAGTGATGACTGGGCCAGGGATGCAGTCAGTGGGGCTTGGGCCAAGGATGCTCTAGTGATGACTGGGCCAGGGATGCAGTCAGTGGGGCTTGGGCCAAGGATGCTCTAGTGATGACTGGGCCAGGGATGCAGTCAGTGGGGCTTGGGCCAAGGATGCTCTAGTGATGGCTGAGCTTGAGATGCTGTTACAAAAGACTGGGCTGCTGCTGCAGTCAGTTGGGTTGGGCCGAAGATGCTCTTGTAATGGCTGGGCTGGAGATGCAGTCAGTTGGGTTGGGCCGAGGATGCTCTTATAATGGCTGAGCTGGAGATGTAATAGTTGGGTTGGGCAGAGGATGCTCTTGTAATGGCTGAGCTGGAGATGCAGTCAGTTGCCTTTTAGTCGATGAACAAGATCGTCTTATCTGGGGCCAAGGTTGCCATTATATTAGTATATTCTGAAGACTGCGTGAAATTCACCCGTAGGTCAATTCGTTGCCTTCAAATAAAAATTTTGCCACAATACTGTAAGGATCAACTTGTCTTCACAGGCATCGCAGCTGTTTCAACACCACTGCCTTGACTACACTTCCGCTTACAACGAAGGTCAGCTCAAGGTCAAACATGGCGCTAGGCACGTCCGCAACGCCATCTGCCTTTGTCAGTTTGTAGAGGACAAGTACTCAGAGGGCCAGCGTCTTCCTATCATGATCGTATGAAGTAAATCCATGCTTTATGGCATTGTGATTTCCCAGGATAGCAACACAATGCTCCTTTATGTACAAAAACACACTCTGTGTCAGGTCTTACTTTCTTATGTACCAGTTTGAATGTTTTCGATGGTGATAGTTTAGTTTAAAACAGATTATAAAATTTCGGTAATATGCCTGCCGTGATTAGACGGTTACCTACTTTGGTAAAACCGACATTGCTGACAAAGCAAGAACATAGGGAGAAAGAAGCTTTGTTTCGAACCGACAATGTCTTAATGCCAATCAAAGAAGTCTTAGATGTCTGACGAACCTGTGACTCTCCCAATGAATTGTGGCCCCATTCTCTACTGAACTACCGGCCCTCCATTTTATATAGACACGTAGTTTTAAAGCCTTCAGTTTCCATTGAGCGTAGTTGGTTTGTTGGTTGGTTGTTCAATGCCGCACTCAGCAATAGTCTAGCTATATGGCGGCGGTCTGTAAATAATCAAGTCGGGACCAGACAATCCAGTGATCAACAGCATGAACATCGATCTACGCAGTTGGGATACGATGACATGTGTCGACAAAGTCACTGAGCCAGACCACCCGATCCCGTTAGTCGTCTCTTGCGACAAGCATGGGTTGATGAAGACCAAGGCTTTTTGTAAAATAACGTAAATTGTTTGAAAAATATTCTGATTTTGACTCACATGTCACAAACGTTGTTTACGCGTTGCCAAAACTTGAAAACACCATAGTGTACTTTCTTTTGTACGTCAGTTCAGTTACTGTGGTCCCCTTTCCCCGAGGTCTCTCAGTAAGAATTAGTCCCAACAACCTGTCTTTGCCATATGACATGAGTGGTCAGGCTCTGTCACTATAGAATGTTGATGAGGGTGGCGTTGAACAAAAACATGATGTCGAAGGTGGTAACACCCTACGACTGTATCGCCACAGTAAGCCACAACATCGTGATATTAACTAAAACACAATCCAAAGCGGCGTTCAACGCATTCAACAGTTTAAACTGTGTTCTCAATAATCCTGTCGTCAGACACCCCAAAATCCACGGCACTTAAAGAAAATGGAATATAACCTTTTTATTTGCCTGTATATCCCTGATTTCATGATCCCAGGACCCAACCTATTTAGATACTTTAAAAAAACATGCACGTACAGTGTATATATATATTAAATCTTATGTACCACATGTTAAATCCTTTGTGTCTGTCTGTCTCTCTGCCTACAGCGAGTCCTCACTAAAACGGACGTCAGCTATCCAGAAACCCTGCTATCCAGAAGACATTCATTGAAACTGGAATAAGTGGATCAGGTTAATGGTCTCGATGCCCTCTTCATGGCTAAAATATGCATTAAACATGTTCAGTTATCCGGACAATCAAAATCTGTTGTTCTGTGTGTTTACGCAAGCGTCCATCATGTTTGAGCAATATTCCAGCAACATCACGACTGGGAACACAAGAACTGGGCTTTACACATTGTAGTCATGAATGGAATAGAACTTTTGTCTTCGACCTAATGAATGAGGGAGCAATGTTTTAAGCAGCTTTTGGCAATGTTTCAACAACATCAACCGAAATTCCGAGCGAAACCAGAAAAGGGCTTCCCACACTGTACCCATGTGGTGAATCGAGCCCGGTCTTCAGCGTGACAGGCGAACGCTAGCGCTTCAGCAATATGCTACCACACCGCCCGCAATATATGCTTTCGAATCGCAATATATCGCAATATGAAAATTCTCTGCAATACCCACCCCTAGTAGATAAACGTGCAATAATGGACTCGTATTAAAGAAAAAGCATGGATATACGACAACTGACAGGATCGACCAATTTCATTACTATGTGCACACTACTGCAGGTCTCCAGATAATTTTTCAACATCAGGAGTACGTACTCCTTATTTTTTTCAATATAGGAGTACTGGAAAACCTTAGGAGTACATTTAGAGTACTGAATGGAATTTAATGGCGGATCAGTAATCTTGTGTTTCGTTTTATATATGCACCACAACATAGCTACTCTTGTGTAAAAAGGTCAATAAATAATAAAACATTATTTTTTCAGATAAATACGTCTGTAAATGATTCTATGACCGTGCAACATTGCAGTGGTGCATATCTGCTACGTTTTCTAAATTATTTCCTACCGTATCGTGCATATTTTATATCCGTACATACGCCGATACGGCCCTTATCTTGAGCCCTGATACTGTATGACAGCGGTTAGATTCATGATGACAAAGGACGTTAAACGACGGTACTAATTATGAACCTGCAGGTGTCCGGCATTAAGGTGACTGCACAAAGTGTGCTCGGCTTTGAGTCAGTTTACTATGGCATTATGGCAAGACATTTTCACATTTTAAGTATAAAGTACACACTCTTCAATTGCCTTAATATATTTTGAATGAAAATAGAGATGTCTAGAATTGAATTGAAGACATCTGGAATTGGATTTGGGATATCTTAAAATGAATTAAACATAGGGATATTTAAAGATATCTGTGATACAATTCATGACATCGCGAAATGAATTAAGGACATATTGAAACTCATTAATACCTTGAAAAAGAATTGCTAATATCTTTAATTGGTTTAATGATATCAGAGTAGGATTTAAAGACGTACAAATTCATGGTTTAATGATATCTGTAATTTAGTTGCTGGTATCTTGCAGTTAGATAAAGATATCTTTAAAACAATATACAATATCTTAATTTCTCAATAAATGTAAAAATGGCTTGCCATTACGCATGGTAGCTCAACACCATATCAAGCTGGTAACTCAGTGGGTTATAATAAATAGTATTAAACTTTTTTTCTAATTGGTGTATTTTTAAAGTATGACGTTTGTATTTGTAAAAACAGCCCAGAAAAGAAGGGGGTACTGTGGGTTTTCTGGAGATATGGAGTCTTGAAGAATCCTTGGCAAGCCAAGACTTTTAACATGGGAGTCTATGGGAAAATCAGCAAAGTTCTGACATGATCCCTCATTTTCATAATTTCTAGTATTCAATTTTAAAAAAAATTCCGATATGTTAATGACAACATGTTTTGCCATAAAAATAAGTATAAAAAAACATGGATTACTGAGGGTATTTTTCCACTATGACACAATGTGTAACATTATATTACATATTTGCACCAATGTTATGTGATTTTCATGATAAAATTAAGGATTTACGTGGCTTAAATAGTTTTTCCTCAAATATTTGAATGACTTACTGCATTGACAATTCAAATATCTTAGCTTAAGTGCATCCATGTTAACATTTATCTGATATTTTAAGCGAAAAGGTGAAGAGTTAAGAAATTTGACACACTGGGCATTATTCACCATTGACTGAAATGGTTATATCATTCTAGACTCTATATTTTCAATGGAGTAATTATTTAATAATATTATTTTTAAATAACAAAACACACACAATCTTAACAATGAAATGTTACATTTATTACATTATTGTACTTTTTATTTCATATCATACATACATGTACATTTGATTTTAAAGTTATACATAACATTTTGGATATAAAAGTTTAGCATTATAATCACTTGATGTAACAGCTATGTACACATCTATGTTATAAATGAAAAAAAGTATTAACACGTCCTGGTAATATATTCAATTAGCCATTTATAATAAATAAAGTAATCAGTGAGCTATATCACAATTCATGAAGGTAAATAGATATCAATAAGTTAGGAAGGCTAATCTGTTATTTCAACATGATTTTTACACTATCACATAAATACATGTGGTGTTGTGGATATAACAAAATGTTGGGCTTGTATTGAAGCCAAACATATATTCCACAATAAACAATAACATTTGTATGTATTTGCAAATGATTAATCAGCTAAAGCATGATAATTTTTAAATTCAAGCAAAATGATCTCATTTACATGAAACAACTAGGTGCACATATTCAAATATACTAAGGTGACATAATCTCCTAAGGTGACAATTCAAAATTAAAGAGGAATGATAGTGAAGATCTGCTGAAATCTTCAATGTGTCCCCGTGACCTTGAAAAATATGTCAAGGTCACCAAAAACAACAGTGATCCCTGCACCTTCTCTAGATGAAGTTTGGTGTCAAGTATGAAAAGAAATCTAGTGAACTGTTTTTGAGATTTATTATATGCTAAACAGTGAGAAAAGTGCTCATCACTACAGTGAGATATCGCTTTTCTCATCACTGTGAAAATATCACAAAGAGGATGATGTAACCTGAACATCAGCGGTTGATAAGTGACAGTGCAACAATGGTATGATGACATCAGAAACAGCTAAAGTGGACCAATATTGACTTATCATACCTCATTTTCCATCAATGAAGCATATAATAAGCAATAAAATACCCTCTATATCTCGCTGACTTTAATAAAGTGTTAGCTCCCTTGTAATCTTGAAATGGTGAAACCTGACTGGGACCTTTCTCATACCATTTTGACTGACTGACTGACTGAGTTTGGTTTTACGCCAAATACTGGTCTTCACACATTCTACTCATGGGGGGATTCGAATCCGGGTCTTCGGCGTGACGAGCCAATGCTTTAACCATTAGGCTACCCCACCGCCCCCATACCATTTTGTACCTAGGTACCGAATATGAAAAGAATCTAGTTAATGGTTCCAGAAATATTCCAATTTGTTTGTATGGACGGACGGATGGACAGAACCTAATACCCTCCGCTTCATGCTAAACTCACGGTGGGGGGGTAAAAATATCTTTTAAGATAATCGAATTTTACAGTGTAAAGCACTGAACTAAACAAAATACAGGTCATCTTGAAACAACAAAGTTTGATCAAACTGTAACTTTGGAAAGGTAGTGGGATAGAGAATTTACTATCTTCTGAGAACTTGTTACCCTGCATTTGTTCTGGTACTTTTCAGCAAACACATTGGATAATCCAATATCTCCCTGTCTCTTGTAAACTACTTTCAAGTGGTCAAAGCAGAGACCACTAGAGGCTATCTTTCTGGCCATATTTGTAGATAAAACCTTTTCACACACAAGGTGTTGAAGGCTTGGAAGATTAGCTTTTATAGCTTTAGACCGTGCCAAGGAGTCTGTACAGTACTTCACACAAAAAGTAGATTGGGTCTTTGCATCAAGAGAAGCATGACAAGTTGAGTACAGCTGTTGCAATGACAAGGCATCTGACAAGGCATCATGTGCAACATAGTCACTCCCCAAAATATTTTTAAACAACTCAACCCGAGCGTATGAATTAAGTCCAGGATTTGTCAATTTGAATAGCTTAAGTGTATCTAGAAAACCATGTACATGATTTGAAAAATGCGGTATGTAATCAATGGCAAGTAATGCATTGAAAAGTAATGGACAATCATATAACTTGATATTGTGCCCAACCAGAACATTGCCTTCACTTTTGCTAAGAAAGCAAATCAGGTCTCCAATAACCGTCTTTAAAGATACAGGATAAACTTCTTCACTGTAGTGAAACATCCTTCTCCCCTCAACACGTATGCCTGTGACCTGTGCAGCAGCTGGAGTAATCTGTACCTCGGGTACAACATAGCGGTTGAATCGTTCTTCACCCCGGACTGCAGCTAACTGTGTCACATGAGATGTTCTCGCTATAAGAGAATAAAGCAAGACATAAGAAGACATATAAAAAAAGTACTTCTTTTAATAGGTGTTAAGCAACCCCCCCACCCCCACCCTGTAATATCCTTGTATTATTGATTACACAAATAATGCCAGAACACTTATTAGATATTTAGATCAAATATATATATTTATGGAGCACAATTTTAAACATTCATGTATAAATGCATTGTGAGTCTAACTTTTGCAGGGTAGTAAATTCAAGATCTTAATATTCAAATATATCTTACAATGCATAGTGTCCTCGTCAGGATAAAAGTCAACAGATATTTTTTATATCCGTTGGGGTCATATGCGGGTATCGATGCAAATTAGAGAGATCAAATGCCTCAACTTCTTTTCAAAATCCTTATGAAGTCACTCTATTGAATATTTGAAACGCCAAGCAAAGTGTGTCAAAATTAATAAACATGGTAAAATATAGCATCTATCAAAATTTAAAAAACATTCGTAATATCTCCAAATGGGTTCCTGCTCCTATTATCTATCATTCACCTGTGTTTCTCTGAAATGGATTAATGTGCACATTTCAGGGCATTTTCTATCAGCTACATAATGTTGCAGGTCATTTAGTGGTAATAGAAAAGAAGAACGACATGGTACGATAACACAAGCGTATTTTGGGATGGTAAATAGTATTAATTCCTAATGCTAGGTATTTACCATCCCAAACCTGATTCGTGTGATAATCTCTATTTCCATTTCACTTGTATTTTACATACCTAAGCCAGTAGTTTCAAGATCAAAGACTATCTATGTGGTGTTGTTAAGCTGAAGTGGCTCCTGGACAGGTACAGGAAGTGGTGGAGGAATGCTAACTAGGTCATCGGTGTCAGTCTCCTCAGACATGTCAACCATGGCAGAGTACGTCGTACCTTCTCTGACTTCTTGAACTGTTCGCTTCTGACTTCTGAAACAGATTTATGAAAAACTATTATGTAGGTCAATAGTCCAATGAGTATGATGGTTACATATCTGTAGACTACTTCGTTCTTCATTACGGAATATAGGGCCTCAGAGCATTACATCATTAACAATGTCTTTCAAGACGGACCAAGTTCTTGTATCCTTCTCTATCATGGTAGAATATGATATATATAAATTTCTACTAGAGTGAGTGAGTATGATTTTACGCCACTTTTAGCAATATTCCAGCAATATCACGGCGGGGGACACCAAAAATAATTTTCTACTTGAGGTCAGAGTTAAAAGCTGACATACCTCATAACCTTGAGATGTAATCTATGCTGTTTAGCTTTAATCGTTGATGCAATAGCCTTTCGTTTGCGATGCTGAAGATCTTTCAGTGTGAAATGCTGTCTGGTATAGGTCCCAGGTGACAGTCCAAGAGTCCTGTTAACCTGTAGAGGAGGATTATCAATTATTAATAAATGGTCATGAAGTTTCCTTATAACTTTAAGGCACTTAGAGTGTTACACATTACACCATTGATTAACATAAGAATTCTTTTAAGCCACTAAAGAATAGGAATGATTTTTCATATATATTTTTGCATATCTGAGACCAGGATAAAAGTAGCATAAAACAGAACAAAGTAATTTAAGAGGGACCTCATCATCCCTGTAACCATTAAAGAATTAATAGTATATTGTCAACAATCATGGGCCATAACTTTTCAATTCAAACTTAAATCAGCTTTACTTTATCTTTAATCTTTAACCACATTCCCCTTCCTAAGGACTTCAAATAAACTGAACTGGAACTATAGAACAAGACACATTTCAAATTCAACTTCTAAATGATTTTAACAAAACTGAACTGGAACTGTAGAACAGAATACATTTCTAATTCAACTTCTAAATGATTTCAAATCAACTGAAATCGAACCATAGAACAGAATACATATTTCTTACAGCTATAATATAGCTGTGGCCCACATTCTTTTGTGCAACGGAAGCAGCAACCCTGAAGTGAAGACTTGAGGAGCCAGAATAATGTCTAGATTTTGGTGCCTTGCTAGACACGGTCTTGTTAAAACGATCATTGGATTGTGTGCTTCCAAGACTGGCAAGTCTTACTTTGTGTATAGCATAGTTGTCAAACAAAGCTTTTAGGTCTGCTTGTAAAGTCAAATCTGACAGAGCTTTACCATAAGGAAGAGACCTGAAGCTTGAGCTTGACGACATCAAAAATCTGCACCAAGTGTCATCACACTTACTGTGATCACCAAATGGGTGACATGATAGTGCAGTTAATCCTCTGCTTATTCCATCTTGGTTTCCTTTGTTTTGGCTGATCATGTAGTTGAAACATTTTTGTAGATACCTGATTACTTTGGTGCTCAGTGTCTTGTGTTTTTTCTGCAGCTGATACAGTTTATTACCTAAGCCTTTCCTCACATGATTTTTGTCAGACTGTTTAACAATGTCCTTGTCTACATTTGCCCTTAATCTGGCTATACTTGTAGCATCATCATCTCCTATGATTGAGGTCACATGTACATCCTCTTCCTTAGCTTTAACTACCATCTCAGATACCATGTCAGGTTCCATACCTTTACTGGAACCATCCCAGTTCTTTCTGCAGTCATGCTCTTCAGGAATCCTGTTAGCTTTATTTGCTTGATGACAGATTCGGCAACTCTTTGAGCGGATCGAATAGCCAAGAACTTTGCCAGTTTTGTTCCCGATCATTGAGCAGTGTCCTGAAACATATAAATGTCTGTTTATTTATTTCAATTTTCTGCTTGAATATGATATATTTATTTTAACAAGTTTAGCTCTAGTGTCTTGATATTATCTGACCAAAACACAAACCCATCAATAACACTGTTACATGTCTTGTAGTAGTCAACATACTGGTCTGAAGGATAAAGTAAAACAAGGAAATAGAACTAATATAACTGAGAGTTTAATAAATCACAAACATAAAAAATAATGTGACAATGGTTACTTTAATCATGCTGTGAACATTTGTACTATTGAAATCTAACTAATTGAAAACACATCAACACAAAACCCAGATCTTAAAACCTTTTTCATCTGAAATGATGCCAGAGAAGGTACCACTTATCACTTTCAAGAAAACATATTGATACATTTACATCATTACACAGAGAGATATACCTAATAGTCTTGTATTATGCATAAGTATAAACAAGCAACTAGAATTAGAATGAATTACCAGACAGGCTGTCATAGCATTTTCCACTGCCCCGCTTCTGCCATCCTGCATCAACACTCACACAGATTCTTCGGCTGCCGGGAGAACTGAAGAAGAGGAAAAAAACATGATGTTGCAATTTCATTTTAAAAACAGTTCACTGGATTTCTTTTCATACTTGACACCAAACTTCATCTAGAGAAGGTGCAGAGATCACTGTTGATTTGGTGACCTTGACATATTTTTCAAGGTCACGGGGACACATTGAAGATTTCAGCAGATCTTCACTATCATTCCTCTTTAATTTTGAATTGTCACCTTAGGAGATTATGTCACCTTAGTATATTTGAATATGTGCACCTAGTTGTTTCATGTAAATGAGATCATTTTGCTTGAATTTAAAAAAAATATCATGCTTTAGCTGATTAATCATTTGCAAATACATACAAATGTTATTGTTTATTGTGGAATATATGTTTGGCTTCAATACAAGCCCAACATTTTGTTATATCCACAACACCACATGTTTTTATGTGATAGTGTAAAAATCATGTTGAAATAACAGATTAGCCTTCCTAACTTATTGATATCTATTTACCTTCATGAATTGTGATATAGCTCACTGATTACTTTATTTATTATAACTGGCTTATTGAATATATTACCAGGACGTGTTAATACTTTTTTCATTTATAACATAGATGTGTACATAGCTGTTACATCAAGTGATTATAATGCTAAACTTTTATATCCAAAATGTTATGTATAACTTTAAAATCAAATGTACATGTATGTATGATATGAAATAAAAAGTACAATAATGTAATAAATGTAACATTTCATTGTTAAGATTGTGTGTGTTTTGTTATTTAAAAATAATATTATTAAATAATTACTCCATTGAAAATATAGAGTCTAGAATGATATAACCATTTCAGTCAATGGTGAATTATGCCCAGTGTGTCAAAATTTCTTAACTCTTCACCTTTTCGCTTAAAATATCAGATAAATGTTAACATGGATGCACTTAAGCTAAGATATTTGAATTGTCAATGCAGTAAGTCATTCAAATATTTGAGGAAAAACTATTTAAGCCACATATATCTTTAATTTTATCATGAAAATTACATAACATTGGTGCAAATATGTAATATAATGTTACACATTGTGTCATAGTGGAAAAATACCCTCAGTAACCCATGTTTTTTAATACTTATTTTTATGGCAAAACATGTTGTCATTAACATATCGGAATTTTTTTTTAAATTAAATACTAGAAATTATGAAAATGAGGGATCATGTCAGAACTTTGCTGATTTTCCCATAGACTCCCATGTTAAAAGTCTTGGCTTGCCAAGGATTCTTCAAGACTCCATATCTCCAGAAAACCCACAGTACCCCCTTCTTTTCTGGGCTGTTTTTACAAATACAAACGTCATACTTTAAAAATATACCAATTAGAAAAAAAGTTTAATACTATTTATTATAACCCACTGAGTTACCAGCTTGATATGGTGTTGAGCTACCATGCGTAATGGCAAGCCATTTTTACATTTATTGAGAAATTGAGATATTGTATATTGTTTTAAAGATATCTTTATCTAACTGCAAGATACCAGCAACTAAATTACAGATATCATTAAAACATGTATTTGTACGTCTTTAAATCCTACTCTGATATCATTAAACCAATTAAAGATATTAGCAATTCTTTTTCAAGGTATTAATGAGTTTCAATATGTCCTTATTTCATTTCGCGATGTCATGAATTGTATCGCAGATAGCTGTAATTATCCCTATGTTTAATTCATTTTAAGATATCCTAAATCCAATTCCAGATATCTTCAATTCAATTCTAGACATTTTCATTCAAAATATATTAAGGCAATTGAAGATATCTGTACTTTATACTTAAAATGTGAAAATGTCTTGCCATAATGCCATAGTAAACTGACTCAAAGCCGAGCACACTTTGTGCAGTCACCTTAATGCCGGACACCTGCAGGTTCATAATTAGTACCGTCGTTTAACGTCCTTTGTAATGACACAGCCGTAGATCGAGGCCACGACCTTTCGCTGTCCGCTTCATAAGGCCTCTATCTTATCATCATGAATCTAACCGCTGTCATACAGTATCAGGGCTCCAGATAAGGGCCGTATCGGCGTATGTACGGATATAAAATATGCACGATACGGTAGGAAATAATTTAGAAAACGTAGCAGATACGCACCACAGCAATGTTGCACGGTCATAGAATCATTTACAGACGTATTTAGCTGAAAAAATATTGTTTTATTATTTATTGACCTTTTTACACAAGAGTAGCTATGTTGTGGTGCATATATGAAACGAAACACAAGATTACTGATCCGCCATTAAATTCCATTCAGTATTCTAAATGTACTCCTAAGGTTTTCCAGTACTCCTATATTGAAAAAATAAGGAGTACGTACTCCTGATGTTGAAAAATTATCTGGAGACCTGCAGTAGTGTGCACATAGTAATGAAATTGGTCGATCCTGTCAGTTGTCGTATATCCATGCTTTTTCTTTAATACGAGTCCATTATTGCACGTTTATCTACTAGGGGTGGGTATTGCAGAGAATTTTCATATTGCGATATATTGCGATTCGAAAGCATATATTGCGGGGCGGTGTGGTAGCATATTGCTGAAGCGCTAGCGTTCGCCTGTCACGCTGAAGACCGGGTTCGATTCACCACATGGGTACAATGTGGGAAGCCCTTTTCTGGTTTCGCTCGGAATTTCGGTTGATGTTGTTGAAACATTGCCAAAAGCTGCTTAAAACATTGCTCCCTCATTCATTAGGTCGAAGACAAAAGTTCTATTCCATTCATGACTACAATGTGTAAAGTCCAGTTCTTGTGTTCCCAGTCGTGATGTTGCTGGAATATTGCTCAAACATGATGGACGCTTGCGTAAACACACAGAACAACAGATTTTGATTGTCCGGATAACTGAACATATTTAATGCATATTTTACCATTTGAGCCATGAAGAGGGCATCGAGACCATTAACCTGATCAACTTATTCCAGTTTCAATGAATGTCTTCTGGATAGCAGGGTTTCTGGATAGCTGACGTCCGTTTTAGTGAGGACTCGCTGTAGGCAGAGAGACAGACAGACACAAAGGATTTAACATGTGGTACATAAGATTTATTACATGTATATCTATACACTGTACGCGTATGTTTTTTTAAAATATGTAAATAGGTTCGGTCATGGGATAATGAAATCAGGGATATACAAGCAAATACAAAGGATATATTCCATTTTCATTAAGTGCCGTGGATTTTGGGGTGTATGACGACAGGATTATTGAGAACACAGTTTAAACTGTTGACTGCGTTGAACGCCGCTTTGGATTGTGTTTATATCACGATGTTGTGGCTTACTGTGGCGATGCAGTCCTAGGGTGTTACCACGTTCGACATGTTTTTGTTCAACGCCACTCTCATCAACATTCTAAAGTGACAGATCCTGACCACTTATGTCATATGACAAAGACAGGTTGTTGGGACTAATTCTTACTGAGAGACCTCGGGGAAAGGGGACCACAGTAAATGAACTGACGTACAAAAGAAAGTACACTATGGTGTTTTCAAGTTTTGGCAACGCGTAAACAACGTTTGTGACATGTGAGTCAAAATCAGAATATTTTTCAAACAATTTACGTTATTTTACAAAAAGCCTTGGTCTTCATCAATCCATGCTTGTCGCAAGAGACGACTAACGGGATCGGGTGGTCTGGCTCGCTGACTTTGTCGACACATGTCATCGTATCCCAACTGCGTAGATCGATGCTCATGCTGTTGATCACTGGATTGTCTGGGCGAGACTCGATTATTTACAGACCGCCGCCATATAGCTGGACTATTGCTGAGTGCGGCATTGAACAACCAACCAACAAACCAACTACGCTCAATGGAAACTGAAGGCTTTAAAACTACATGTATATATAAAATGGAGGGCGGGTAGTTCAGTAGAGAATGGGGTCACAATTCATTGGGAGAGTCACAGGTTCGTCAGACATCTAAGACTTCTTTGATTGGCATTAAGACATTGTCGGTTCGAAACAAAGCTTCTTTCTCCCTATGTTCTTGCTTTGTCAGCAATGTCGGTTTTACCAAAGTAGGTAACCGTCTAATCACGGCAGTGATATTACTGAAATTTTATAATCTGTTTTAAACTAAACTATCACAATCGAAAACATTCAAACTGGTACATAAGAAAGTAAGACCTGACACAGAGTGTGTTTTTGTACATAAAGGAGCATTGTGTTGCTATCCTGGGAAATCACAATGCCATAAAGCATGGATTTACTTCATACGATCATGAGAGGGAGACGCTGGCCCTCTGAGTACTTGTCCTCTACAAACTGACAAAGGCAGATGGCGTTGCGGACGTGCCTAGGGCCATGTTTGACCTTGAGCTGACCTTCCTTGTAAGCGGAAGTGTAGTCAAGGCAGTGGTGTTGAAACAGCTGCGATGCCTGTGAAGACAAGTTGATCCTTACAGTATTGTGGCAAAGTTGAATTACAGTATTTTGAAGGCAACGAATTGACCTACGGGTGGATTTCACGCAGTCTTAAGAATATACTAATATAATGGCAACCTATGTATGCTCCTTGGCCCCAGATAAGACGATCTTGTTCATCGACTAAAAGGCAACTGACTGCATCTCCAGCTCAGCCATTACAAGAGCATCCTCTGCCCAACCCAACTATTACATCTCCAGCCCAGCCATTACAAGAGCATCTTCGGCCCAACCCAACTATTACATCTCCAGCCCAGCCATTATAAGAGCATCCTCGGCCCAACCCAACTGACTGCATCTCCAGCCCAGCCATTACAAGAGCATCTTCGGCCCAACCCAACTGACTGCAGCAGCAGCCCATTTTTTTGTTACAGCATCCCTGGCCCAGTCATCACTAGAGCATCCTTGGCCCAAGCCCCACTGACTGCATCCCTGGCCCAGTCATCACTAGAGCATCCTTGGCCCAAGCCCCACTGACTGCATCCCTGGCCCAGTCATCACTAGAGCATCTTCAGCCCAATCCTAAATGACTGCATCTCCAGCCCCGCCATTACAAGAACATCCTCGGCCCAACCTTAAATGACTGCATCTGCAGCTCAGCCATTACAAGAGCATCTTCGGCCAAACCCTTACTGACTACATCCTTGGTCCATTCTTTTCCAACAGTATCCCTGGCCTAAGCCTTAATGAGAGGATCACTGACCCAACTCAACATTGATTCACTGAATTCATTTGCAGTCACAAAAACATGGAACATTAATTTTGAAAAGTTGTTAACGATTTTACGACTGCTTCTGAACGTTTGGGATCGTGATTGTCAGAAATGAGCTGACGATAGTACCCTTCTCCATGAATCATCGATAATGTATAGAGAAGGTATGATTCATATATAATAAACAAAATATATACAGTACTAACCTTGTCTGCATTTGAACCAGATTCAAGATGTCTTCCTTCAATTCCTTCCAGAAAATTTGCCAAAAAGTTCTGAAAGTAATCAAAACTGTTACGTTTTGGTATGTTTGTTGTTTAACGCTGCACACAACAATATTCCAGCTATACGGCGGCGATGTGTAAATAATCCAGGCGGTCTGTAAACAATGGACCAGACAATCCAGTGATTGACAGTACGAGCAATGATCTATGGAAAGGGGATACCTCATGCATCAACCTAGTCAGCGATCCTGACCACCTGATCTTGTTTGTCGCCTCTGACGACAAGCATTCCAACCTTCACAGGTAAACAGTTACCTGGGGAACGACGAAATACACACTGCAAACATGAGTCACTAGTATCACTAGTTTACATCACTATGAGATTACACAACTGACGTTAACCGGGACCCTTATAAAGCGATAATCGATATCAACTTGTGTGCACTATTACTCTCAACTTTGTAGGTACTATATCTGTATATAGATCATATAATATGACGGTCAAGTTGTATTATGCAAAATCACCAGTGCTTACTGAAGCTCGAGGTAGTTAACACAAACACCAAGTATATAAATGGATGACGAATCTGACTATTCTGGATTTTTATGATTACTTTACATCAAAGAATGTCAGCGTACACTTTTCAAGTTATACAATATCATCATTAAAAATGAAAAGAGCATGAACAGTTTCGTACATACCTTGCATTCCGTTGGATCATAAAACCAAAATTGGAGCTGAAAATAGCAATGGACTTCTTAACATACTTCCCATCAAAAGTATAGACTCACTTAAAACACTCACTATATGTTATGAATATATATATGGTATCGAAGGTTGACTTCTCCACTTCCTTGTAGGAACCAGCTGCAAAACCTTATGCATATGAATTGTACGAGGATCAAGCATCAAATTGCTGATAAGCATGTGCAAATATCGTGCATCTGCGTTTTGGTGTAAAGTTTTGTTTAGAATTCGCCAATTTTCACTGATTTTTATTATTTATTGAACTCATGACAATAATCTTTCCAACGTTACGAATGTGTTTCACAATACATCAGTTCATGTGTAAACAGTACCTTTAAGCAGTATGGAATATTTTGCAAAATCTAGTTTAGAACAGTTGGCTGAAGTTGGTGGCTATATTGACACTCGCGCGTCTAAACCTTTGATGGGAAGTATACACATGTATTCTATGAAAGAAGTGTCCTCTTTATCAAAGTGAAACTAACTCAAACCAAGAACACGGCGTTTTTAGCACCAGAACTATATCTACTAATGAAAAATAAGTTTACTTCATTAAATGGCATTAACAAGTACACATTATGAACAAGAGAGATCATTCTAAGGTCGCTTTCGTTGTAACAAAGAAATTGAATATCTATGACCCTTGCTCAACATGTAGTTACCATTAGGACTAAGGAAGAGTCAGCAGAACTAAAATAATAAAATCCTTAGAAGAGATGAGTTCTAGGGAGGCTTTATGTCTCCAGAACGGCCAATTAGGTGAAAATATTACACACATACGGTCCCCCTTTTCGGACAAAAGAAAAACAAAATATATCACCATTAATCCTGATGTAGGAGATCACAAGGTAAAAGTGTTACAAGATTAAACATGAGTTGAGTCGAGCCAACGCTTTAGCCATTAGGATACTCCACCGCCTCTTAAAAGATATTGAGCGCAAACCAGATTAGAATCCACGAACAGTATGCTTCAGGTACGCTATAGAGACGTAAACTTGCTGGGTGAATTACAAAGCCCTAGGCTAGTGGGCCACCCCTGTCCTGCAGCTACCAATGGGGCAATGAAATTGAGGTGATTGCTAGACAGAGTGAAATTATCTCTGTTCTATGTACAGGAGCCACATCCTTGATAACATGCGATTTCAAATAACGTTACGAGTACTGACGTATGTCCGGGTCAAAATGCAACCAGCCATTTGCATCTTATATCCTACGATGACGTTGTACTTCAGAAATATCGCGTTGACTTCAGCAACTGCTTTTTCGAGTCGAGACCGTCTCTGGAATTAAAGTAAATTTTCCTATATCACATTTTGATGATTTTCGGCGAGTACAACTTATTTACACAGATTAATCAAGCATTATTGAAAATATCACCTCTTTTATAAGCAATTCGCGATATTGAGTTGATGTTTTGGCTCATTCTAGCTGAGAATAGATTTCATAAAGACTAATTCTATGAAGACGCCGAAAATCTTTCTTTGGATTCCAACAGCCCAGAGAATAAATATTTCAGGAAGTAAATGTTAGTCTTGGGCGAGTGAATGAATGTTTAACAGCACGACTTTGTGCTCCCCTAAGAGAAATGCTTCCATGCTGATGTCCAAATTTCGATGTTTATGGAATTACTTTATATATTCAGTTTCTATGTAATCCAATGCATCCGGAGTCATGTAATATGCAGGTTTCGAGTTTTAATGCCGATTTCTTCCAATTAAAATTTAGTGGCGGATAGGCGTCTGGTACAATTCATGCGTGCCATTTTAAAAAAGGTCCCTCACAACCCCAAGTCCACAACTACATACTATACTTGAAATGATATATTTCTGAAACAAAATTACTGAATTAATGTGATAAAAATTAATAAATTAATTTTGATTTTTTGAAACAATTTCCCTTACTAATTTAATATTACCGGATATAATGTGACTATACTTACTATCCGTCTCTGAGCATAAAATGATATAACGATAGACAGACAGGGAGGTATAAAACACAGTGCGACGCCAAGAAATTGCCAGATTAGTAACCCAATCAACAGTGAAACGAGGTATCCTGCAAGTGTGATCGTGAAGACTGGCACACAACATGGTCCGAAGTCGCAGAATACTGCACAGCAGCACCTTGCAGATCTAATGATGTCCATCGCCTGTTGAAACTCATCTGGTGGAACCTGCACAGGCAGCCCAAGAAGGAACAAGTAAATGGCCAGGTGAATAAAGTGGCTCTTTGACGGAAACTTACAAGTAACAAACAATGTGAACCTGTTGCCAAAACACCACATATATCCTTCACAGTGTTATTCATGGGGTCCGCCGTGATGTTGCTGGAATATTGCTAAAAGCGGCGTAAAGCCAAACTCAGTCAGTCAGTCAGTTATTCATGGGATAATAGAAAATTCAACAGTCGTGATTAGCAATATTAAACACCCATCCACACTAAGAAAAACAAACCTGAAGACCCGGTCTCAGTAGATGCCTGGGAGTCAGCAACAAACACACAACCGGATAGTGGCTGTCAGAAACATACACACACCTGGATACTGGGTGTCAGCAACAGACACACACCGGGATAGTGGCTGTCAGAAACATACACACACCTGGATACTGGGTGTCAGCAACAGACACACACCGGGATAGTGGCTGTCAGAAACATACACACACCTGGATACTGGGTGTCAGCAACAGACACACACCGGGATAGTGGTTGTCAGAAACATACACACACCTGGATACTGGGTGTCAGCAACAGACACACACCGGGATAGTGGCTGTCAGAAACATACACACACCTGGATACTGGGTGTCAGCAACACACACACCTGGATACTTGGTCTCAGCAACACACACTCCTGGATACTAGGTGTCAGCAACATACACACGCCTGGATACTGAGTCTCAGCAACACACACACCTGGATACTTGGTCTCAGCAACACACACTCCTGGATACTAGGTGTCAGCAACATACACACGCCTGGATACTGAGTCTCAGCAACACACACACCTGGATACTTGGTCTCAGCAACACACACGCCTGGATACTAGGTGTCAGCAACATACACACGCCTGGATACTGAGTCTCAGCAACCACACACACCTGGATACTGGGTCTCCAGCAACACACACTCCTGGATACTACTGGGTGTCAGCAACATACACACGCCTGGATACTGAGTCTCAGCAACACACACACCTGGATACTGGGTCTCAGCAACACACACTCCTGGATACTAGGTGTCAGCAACATACACACGCCTGGATACTGAGTCTCAGCAACACACACACCTGGATACTGGGTCTCAGCAACACACACTCCTGGATACTAGGTGTCAGCAACATACACACACCTGGATACTGGGTCTCAGCAACACACACACCTGGATACTGTGTCTCAGCAAGAAACACACAGCTGGATACTGAGTCTCAGCAACACACACACCTGGATACTAGGTGTCAGCAACATACACACGCCTGGATACTGAGTCTCAGCAACACACACACCTGGATACTGGGTCTCAGCAACACACACACCTGGATACTGGGTCTCAGCAACACACACACCTGGATACTGAGTCTCAGGAACACACACACCTGGATACTGAGTCTCAGGAACATACACATCTGGATACTGGGTCTCAGCAACACACACACCTGGATACTGAGTCTCAGGAACACACACACCTGGATACTGAGTCTCAGGAACATACACATCTGGATACTGGGTCTCAGCAACACACACACCTGGATACTGAGTCTCAGGAACATACACACCTCGATACTGAGTCTCAGGAACACACACATCTGGATACTGGGTCTCAGCAACACACACACCTGGATACTGGGTCTCAGCAACACACACACACCTGGATACTGGGTCTCAGCAACACACACACACCTGGATACTGGGTCACATCAACACACACACACCTGGATACTGGGTCACATCAACACACACTTCTACATACTGGGTCTCAGCAACATACACACCTGGATACTCGATGTCAGCAACAAACACACACCTGGATACTGAGTCTCAGCGACAAATACACACCTGGATACTGAATCTCAGCAACAAGCACACACATGGATACTGAATCTCAGCAACAAACACACACGTGGATACTGGGTGTCAGCAACAAGCACACACCTGAATTCTGGGTGTCAGCAACAAGCACACACTTGGATTCTGGGTCTCAGCAACAAACACACACTTGGATACTGGGTGTCAGCAACAAACACACACTTGGATACTGGGTGTCAGCAACATACACACACCTGGATATTGGGTATCAGTAACATACACACCTGGACACCCAGTCTCAGTTACAAATATACATCTGGACACCCAGCATCAGTAACAAAAACATACCTGAACACCTGGTCTCAGTAACGGCTCGGGTATATAAGGGGTCCTCAACTGTTCTCCCAAGGGACACTTGAAGTCGGAAGATAGCTCAACCAACGCATCCATATTTCCTAAAGACAAATGATACAAACAGTAGTATTGTGATCTTCTCTTAGCACCACTATCACCCCAGATACTTTCAACGTATATTGGAAACTGCCATGTATGTTTCTTTCAGTTTTAGCATGTTGTTAATGTACGATAAAACACAAATGTTTGCCACAAACATGGCAATGTCCCCCGTTGCTAAAGAAGAAACAAATATAATATATTTAGTAGGTTTTACCTTTTGGTCACATTTCAGGAATGTGGTAGATTTGAATGCACAGATGCAGATGCATATATCCAGTGTCAGTAACAGTATGTACTAGGGCTGGGATCGGTCCAAGTTTTCTCCCCGGGTACTCCACCCCTTATTACCCTACCCTTCCCTGATACCCGTTATGTTAATTCCTGACATGAAATTTGTAAGAAATGGCAATATATTCTTCGGCTCGAAGGGTAAAATTGGGTGCAACGTTTTATGAGATATCGCGTTTACGTAAGTTCGGAAAGTGGTCAAAGTGTGGTGGTGACCTTGAAAATACTGTCAACGTCACCCAAATCAACCGATGTCTGCGTAATCCCCCAATGTAGGCTGGTACCAAATTTGAAGACACTGGGTAAAACAGTTCATTAGATATCCCGTTAACATGAATCGAGACGTACGTACACGGACGCTGCAGAATACGATGTCCCCCGCTCCACGTTTAGGCGGGGAACAAATATCATTACGTCAGACATTACACCATTAGGACAGTACACCATGTCACGGTACACTTTGTCACAGTACACTATGTCACAGTACACCATGTCACAATACACCGTGTCACAGTACACCATGTCACAGAACACCATATCACAGTAGACCGTGTCACAGTACACTATGTCAGAGTACACCATGTCACCTTGTCACAGAACACCAAGTCACAGTACACCATGTCACAGTACACCATGTCACAGAACACCATATCACAGTAGACCGTGTCACAGTACACTATGTCACAGTACACCATGTCACCTTGTCACAGAACACCAAGTCACAGTACACCATGTCACAGAAAACCATGTCACAGTACATCATGTCACAGAACACCTTGTCACAGAACACTATGTCACAATACACTGTGTCACAGTACACCATGTCACAATACACCATGTCACAGGACACCATATTATAGTACACTATGTCACAGTACAACATGTCACAGTACACCGTGTCACAGTACACCATGTCACAGAACACCATGTCACAGTACACCGTGTCACAGTACCCTATGTCATAACACACCATGTCACAGGACACCATGTCGTAGTACACTATGTCACAGTACAACATGTCACAGTACACCGTGTCACATTACACCATGTCACAGAACACCATGTCACAGAACACCGTGTCACAGTACACTATGTCACAGAACACCATGTCACATAACACCGTGTCACAGTACATTATGTCACAATACACTGTGTCACAGTACACCATGTCACAGAACACCATGTCACAGAACACCGTGTCACAGTACACCGTGTCACAGTACACCATGTCACAGTACACCATGTCACAATACACCATGTCACAGTACACCATGTCACAGTACACTATGTCACATTACATCATGTCACAGTACAATCTGTCACAGTGTCACTATGACCGCCGACATGTAGCTGGAATATTGCTGAGTGCGGCGTAAAACACAGAACACCGTGTCACATAACACCGTGTCACAGTACAGTATGTAACACTACACTGTGTCACAGTACACCATGTCACAGAACACCATGTCACAGAACACCGTGTCACAGTACACCGTGTCACAGTACACCATGTCACAGTACATCATGTCACAGTACACCATGTCACAATACACCGTGTCACAGTACACCATGTCCCAGTACACCATGTCACAGTACACCATGTCACAGTACATCATGTCACAGTACACCATGTCGCAGTACACCTTGTCACAGTACACCATATCACAGTACACCATGTCACAGTACACCATGTCACAGTACACCATGTCACAGTGTCACTATGACCGCCGACATGTAGCTGGAATATTGCTGAGTGCGGCATAAAACTAAACTCACTCACGAACTCAGTCTTACCATGACGAGGTTCGATTCTCAAATCCTTTGTTCCTGCTTGGTTACCGCGTAGGTCCTCTGAAATGGTATATAGTTCCAGTTTGGTTTCAATTAGTTTAAGTAATTTCGAGACGTATTCAAATTAGATTGAGAAATGAAATGAGAAATGAGATTTTCGCCATTTCATTTCAGGTGAAAATGTTCTATTACTATTTAATTCAACACAAATAGTGAGTGTTGTGTTGGGAAGACAATGGATGGAATGTAATTATTAAGATCAGTATATTCCTTTATAATCAACTAAGGTATGTAAGTCTCGGGATAAGTACACTCACCTTTACAAACTATGGCCCCAATGAACCGCTGCCACCAGTCATTACCAGGAGTTGCGTCAATGTAGGTGAGGGTCTTGATACTGTCGGGTACACAGCATCGCTTCACCATCACAGGCACCACCAGCAGCTGGCTCTCCTCCATGCTCAGGATCATCCCCATCTCAATCTCAAACATGCACCAGTGACTCTGTATGAAGTCTGGAGACAGCACCAACACCGTCTTCTCCGACAGTCGGATGTGTTCGGTGATGTTTTCAATGATACGCTTACCTCCGTGAAAGTCTCTCTCGTGCATGCTGCATCTGAAGCCCATCTCTGGCGACTCCAGACGTCTGGTGACCTCCTCCACCCACTCTCTGTCGGAGATTTCATAGGAGAAGAAGACGTGGTACCTCTTTCCTTCAGATAGCGGAGGGGCAACACCTGTACATTGCGGTGGGTATATATATTCGTCCGCATTTATTATCTCATCAGATCGAGGCTGGGTTGTCACGTCTCTTGTGCCTGTGAGTGAGTGAGTAAGTGAGTTAGTGAGTGAGTCAGTTTCACGTGTCTTCTAGCAAACTTCCAGCAATATCAGAAAGATATGTTTAGGTTCTTTTTTTAGGAGCATTGAATTACCCCTGCATATCATTCCCCTCTTTCCTTGAACACCAGGTACCATCAACATTTGATACTGATTCAATAACACGAACAGCGGATTCTGCCTTTGGTGGAGATATCATATTTTATGGAAATCAATCTTGTCGCATTTATTCCCCAAAGCGCATTATATGCATTCATAAACGAAGAAATATGGATGTAAGAAACTGCGGCAACCATTATCCATATTCCATAAAACATAGGATGTCTAACGTCTTACCTTTTGCAAAAGATGGAACAGGCCCCGAGTGCCTGTCTTCCATACTGGCAGAGGTGTAGCGGCCATCGTGACGAGCGGAAGTAGATACGCTGTCAAGGTCACTGAGATCCTGATTACTGTATGTTGATGCTGAACTAATGGGGATACGTCTTGGAATGTCCAAAGGAACTGCATCAGCAGTCGTCGGATCAGGAGAAAAAACGACTTTTCTCACAGTTGGTTCGTGTTCCTCTTCGTGTTCTTTCAATCTGTCGATCTGGACATTCGTGCTGAGAGACGTGTAGTCCCTGAAGTCGATGCCCGTCGTTGTAGTGTCGTCACCGGGGCTTCTAACATCAACACCACATCCAGCTAATTCATCCAGAGATGGACCCCGAAGAGGCTGTGGAAGGTGATACGGGGATTCTTGGATGGATCCATCCTCTGGTTCTGATAGCAGAGGAGTAGTGTCCATCGTGTACGAAGGAGAACCAGTCTTATTTACTGTTTGCCAGAATCGTTTAATTTCTGAAAAGTAAACAATTTAGTCTTATTCTGTAACCATCTAATGTCTTCATTATTTACTTTTGTGAATGTATTGACTGTTTCATACCTCATTTTTATCATTAAATAATCGAATTTCATGCAATATTTGACTTAACAAGGTTAGGATGATTTTTGATTGAATGACCTCCCTTCTGGTTTACGAAATACACACACAAAAAACGATCCCATGGTACCAAAAGAGCTGTTTGTACTTCCGTTCTAATAACATTGACCTTCATTCTCGGCCAATACCCTACAGAAAACTTCAAACAGCTAGCATGGCAATTATCATAAAGTCAACATGGCAACATCGTCTTTCAAATCAATTTCTTTCAAGCAACATATTCCTCATACCCGTGGTTAGAAAGGACTATTCAGAATTTAGGATATTGCCTGCGATGTCATAAATATAAGTCGCTTCAAAATATAGGTTCCCTCTGATAAATTTCCTCATTTCAGGTATATATAGTAACCTCCTTCACAAATAATTTTCTACAAATAATTGGCAATGTTTCAAAATTGAGCATCGATACATTGATATAAAATTTCCTCGTGGAACGGATGACAGCTTGATTAAACATTAAAGGCAAATGTGTTTAATTAAAAGTCGAAACAGTTCTTTCATATGATAGTATTTTTTCAGTTTTCGCATATTTAAAGCATCTGTGGTCCCTCTGGAACAATTAAAGGTAATTATACCCAAAGTATGGTTTTCCAGATTTATCATATATCATTTGAAGATCATATACAAGGAAACAAAAGTCGGCACTTTCCATCTAGATCAACAAAATGCCTGTTCAACAGTAACAGCTCCGTGCTTTACAAATTATTAACAATACCAAATATATCTAAGATACTGTTGAACTATCATTAAAATCACACAATATAATAAAAAGCTCTTAAAGGTATAATTCTGAAGAAATAATACAAAAACAAAAACAAATCATATATTGAGTATGAAAAAAAAAAGAATAATGAATTTTCCATGTCATTAAAAATACCTTTCATGCTCATCAAAGAAAGGTGAGTCAGTCCTGTCACCATAATGCAATCATCATTTCTACATATAATTTATTATCTCTTTTTCTTACTTGTCAAAGTGCATTCCCAGCTGACGTGTCAGTGAATGTCACTAAGTTCAAAATCACGGGAACATGTTGCAGGTCTACACCCACATGCAGAAGTACACACAACAGGTTCAGCCTCTTACAGCTACACCTTCCTGTACATTGACTCTACATGCACAGATATGAAGCTGAAGAAGGCCCTCAGGTGCTGGAGGTCCATCGGTAAAGACAGGTTTGCATAAATTGTCCCACCCATATACATATGGCATGGTGACAAATTTACACTATTCTTCTGATTCTTTAAGAACTGTAGGTATTGAAAAGTATTAAACAGACCTCATCCGAAACTTCAAATCTCAAATATTTATAAATATATTTTTTAAAATCTTTAATCCTCGCAAAGACACGAGCATGTGACGAGGGCCTGTGGCTATGGGCGATCTGTTCCTGGGTGTCTTTCGACACTGAGCATAGCACAGCAGACCCCGGGAACCAGGCTGGACCGCGATTTGACAAGAACCACTCGTACAGAGTCATGGAGAGACTACCAACCAAATCGTCCATAACAAACTCTTAATACCTAAAAATAGATCTTGGGCCTCCCCAAAGTGAAGAGTGCTGTAGAGTGAACAAACAACCGACACAAAGATATTTGAATATTTATTTATGTGTACGATATCAGGCATATGTATGGTATTTACCATCCGGACTAGAATCGTCTGAGAGAATGCCCTGAAGCCTGCAGCGTACAGGCAGCTACTCTGCTCTCAGTAAATCTCCACAAGAGCAGCGCCACAGTCGGCTAGCCATTCCGACGCTAAGAGCACACTCACGTATTACACATACTATGCAAACGGAATAATAGTTCAATAACAGACTGGGTTTACTAAAGACGTCCTTCCTTTTAAAAATCATGAAATGTCAAAGGTTATTCCAGAATGTGTGATAAATAAATTATTAATTCCTTTCTTTACCATAAACAACATCATGCTAATTAAGGTCCATCTTGTTATAAAACCAATCTATTTAAAATCAGATCATATTCATTCGCAAAGTGAAAAGTATGACATGTAATGGTAATTGTATTTCGATATCGAATTAAATATATATACTCTACTGTGATCTTTTAATTGTTGAGATTTACGCTGAATTAACCTGCAAAGTTAAAATGAAATAGAAAGTACAAATAACTATCTCTTACATCTAATGGAGGCTTCGGATATTGTGTCAACTGACATTCAGGAGTAAGTGGACCAATAAGAAGTGAAATAGACACATGACATAGCAATCTAGTAGTTTATGAACACAGTCTAAACATTAACTTGACGAAAAGAGAATCCCTACCTTCTTTTCACGAGTTATTCGTGGCTGCCATTTTGATCGAAACGAAGCAGCCGGGATACCGAACCCAGTCAGACCGGGTGGGTGTGCACTCAAGTGTAACGGCTGGTTCATTTGCAGATGCCCTCACGGCGTATTGTGTGTGTATATATAGAGATGTTGGGTTTTGTAAATACATGCTAATTTTTTGTGTATAACATTTTACAATCAACAGACAACATAACATGTCATGTGTTCAAGTATCACACCTGCCTGTCTGTGTAATTACATAATGTGACAGAGACCGAACTCTGTCATAAAGAGGCCATAAATCAATGCATTTTGTTTATGGTGTATAGCCTGATTGGTGTTAAGTTCAAATTGCATGTGGTCAGTGATAGCAGCTGTGTATTGAATATTGTCATTAGCAGACAGGCAGGGAGACACACAGGCGTCAATACAACAAGACATTGAGTTTTGTCTGTGACAACGACATATCTATATCACAGTTAGAAATTCTGTCAACGCTAAATAATGACATTGCTTTCAAGTATCGAACTGAGAAAGTGACTCGGTAAGAAGAACGTGTGGTGATATTATAGAATGAAATTAAGTCTCAGATTCAACCAACAGATTTGAGAGTGAAGAGAAAGTATAGTTATCTTCCAGTATACTGGCTTGTAAAAATGCAATGCTTATCGGATCACAAAACCCCAATGTGGTAGTTTCCGGAGTATGTGTCTGTAAATAATCGAGTCTGGACCAGACAATCGAGTGATCAACAGCATGAGCATCGATCTACGTATGCTGTTGGGATACGATGACATGTGTCAACCAAGTCAACGAGCCTGACTACCCGATCCCCTTAGTCTCCTGTTACGACAAGCATGGGTTACTGAAGATCAATTCTAACCCGGATATTGCAATGTTGCAGTGAGGTGAATGTGGAGTCACCCAAGTGTCTTCTGATATTAATTATCTATATCAACACGAGTTGATTAAAGTTACAAACATCCGAGGCTTGCTGATGTTTTCACTTTATTCAACGAGTGTTGATATAATTGATATCAGAAGACACAAGGGTGAGATTTTATGTATCATCGAAAGTCATTCTTCATCAGTTATCAGTAAAAGAATGAATTTAACTGAATACAAAACTGCCATTAGGCCTCTTGAGCAGTGATCTCAGCAAGGCTATAGAATTGTGACGTCATCAGCTTCATGACATCATAGCATTGTGATGTCATCAACTTTGCGACGTCGTAGCATTGTCAGCTGTGTTCTTAGTGATGTCAAAGCTTTGTGAGCATTAACTGATGATGTAATAGCATGTTGACAGTTCAATTGTTGCGATATCTACAACATTGATACTACTTATAGATATCGCTTGTTATTACCCATAGGGGCTAGGATACACAGGTGATTATTTTTTTGATAATCGCATATGTGGTTTTCAGTGATTCTCAACTTTGATTGGGCAGCTAAGCAGAGAAGAAATATGATTGTTGACGGAACTACTTTTCGTGATCAAAGTTCATTGACAACTTTTACCGTTTCATTGATAATTAGAACGTGCTGTACTCACACATTCCGAGATTAATAAAAGAAAACATAAAGGTTAAAGAATATGAATACTCTTTTTATTAGACATTATTATTTTGAAATAAAATTGCGTTATAAATAGTAGTCTTTCTAAAATAAATAACCTTTCAAAAACCCAACAACAATCGTTTGCGTTATTTGTAAACAAACGTGGCCGCCATTAGGCTAACCCCGATCAAGGCCCGAAAACGACCAGACCCTCTCTGACAATGGTGTACCAGTACATCAAATCATGCAAATTTCCGGGCACGAAAATGTTCAATGAATAAACAGTTACTCTTCAATTAATGAGAAACAACATCAGTCCATCAATAAATTGTTGTCAAACCCTTGTATAGTCTGTTTGCAGTGAAAACGTACCGATGAATTTCACTTTAAACGAAAAAGTAAATCAAATAAAGCGATATTAAGATTGCGAATCCTCATAATTTTACATTGCCAATCGAACATTTAAATCTCAGGATTATATTCAACTTTGGATAAAAGTTGTTTAACAAACGATCATAGTTTCAAATCGCTATTATTGGTTTGTATTACAAGGGGGTAGGTTGATGGAACAGTGAAACAAATGCACGAGCAGTACGTGAGGAGCGTTAACTTAGACCAACCCGACTTGTTCTCGGTGTTTCATTTAATGTGCAAATAACGGTTTAGCTGTTATTAAGTTCAATGATATATTTAAAAGATCATTTTTATTATATTAACAAATGTTAATTTATTATTCCAGACAAAATATTTTTGTTGTATTTTAAAGCAATTTTACTACGTGCTCTTTTCCATAGTGTAGTTATGTTATTACCGCTGGAGAAGTTAGGTTTAATACGCGCATGAATACGAATCAGCTGTTAGAGGTCACAAGTCCTGTCTCCGGGTGGTTTTTATTCCGTGGTTCTTCTTTTTAAATTACATTATGGGTAATAAATAGAATAACCAACTCGGTACGAGTGATTACGGAAATATGCCCTAGTAAAAATAATGTTCAGTGCCTCGCCAAGGCTCGGCACTGTGAACATTATTTCATCTCGGACATATTTCCCGTAATCACTCGTACAGAGTTGGTTATTCTCTAAATCTCACACAAGCGATATCTACTGTGGGAGACAGTTTTGGATGATAAATTACCATCAACGTCAGTTTGCTTTAAATCTCTGGTCTACATTTACGATGAATGTGTACTGTCACTACAAATGTAGTAGCTTTGTCCTGATTTGTATAAATTTGTAACTTTCCCGGAGAACTTTTAGTTTCAACATGGAAATCACCACTTAACAATATCAATTATGAAACAGCGAAAGACATTCACATCGAAACATTCGTAAAATATATGATATTCGCCATATTGATTATCAACTTATAAAACACGGTTCAATGTTAGTAATAGTGTGTGAGTGAGTGAGTTAAGTTTTACGCCGCACTCAGCAATATTCCAGCTATATGGCGGTGTCGGTAAATAATTGAATCTGGACCAGACAATCCAGGGATCAACAGCATGAGCATCGATCTGATGAACAACATTGGGGTGAGACTCCAAATATATAATAATAATAACAACACTTAACTCAGATTCTTTTAGGAGAATGAAGTTGAAATGAATTGCGACTAGCAATAGCTGTCATTCAGTGTAAACGATGCATCTTTGGGGTATGATGGTATAAATGTTACAGTCAAACAAGTCATTTGAAAAATAGAGATCTAGTTAGACTGATTGCCTGAACAGTTTAGTGTATCCATCAAATGCAAGGTATTTGTTTTGAATGTTGTACCAGGACCATTTGACCAAGTTTTGTGTGCTACGACCCTAAACATCAAAGAGAGCAGCTGAAGTTGCCTACCAGCTTATGGACATATTCCTGCTGCTTGGTGCCCGAAAGATACTGCAAAAGTGATAACGGATCTAAATTCACAGCTAAAGTTACCACTGAAATAAAAGAACTTTGGATCTGATCATTGTGCACGGTAAACCACGACACCCTCAAAGTCAAGGATCGGTTGAGCGAGTGATTTCTGATATCAAGGACATGATCTGTGCTTGGATAACTGAAAATTGAAAATTGAGTTGGTATCAGATTTATTCAGTTCAGGACTGACTGACTGAGTTTGGTTTTACGCCGCTTTTAGCAATATTCCAGCAACATCACGGCGGGGGACACCAGAAATGGGCTTCACACATTGTACCCATGTGGGGATTCGAACCCGGGTCTTCGGCGTTACGAGCCAACGCTTTAACCACTAGGCTACCCCACCGCCCCTCAGTTCAGGAAGAACCCTAGTTTTTCAACAAGTATCCAACAGTCCCCGTATCAGCTCTCTTTGGAATGGGGGCCAAGGTTGGATTGCGATCAACATCACTTACTGATGACATCCTGAACAAGCTGCAGAGGATGACCTACTTGCAGCTACCAGTTCCCACCTAGAGCAGTCTGAGACCCGTGAGTCTGACCCTGTTGAAGAAGACGACGATTAAGTCACTTGGTCAAATGACTGGTCGAAAATTTTAGTCATTCGGTCAAATGACTTAGAATGTTAGTCTTTTGACCATTTTCGACCAAATGACTGGTCGTTTCAGTCATTTTTGACCAAATGATGGTTTGACAGATTGACTGTAACATATATAAAACTCTACCGAAACAAACATCTCTTTACACATTTTAGCTTACACAACATCTACACACGGACAAACACTCACACCCTCCACACCTAGCTCCCTTTCCAAGGCCGATATGTCGATCCCTAGTCTCAGTACGCTTGACGCCACATCGGCAGCCATGACATTTGATTTATGACAAATTCATTTACAATTCAATGTTTTTATAGCATGCGTTTTTACATTATGTTGAACATGTTTTGATTGCTCCAAAATTCGTACAATTCTAAGTTTCAAACTTTATCGAACAGTGTCATTGTTTTAACAGTCCAGGTACATTGTATATCAGTCTTGGGGTTGTGGGTGTGGGGGTGGTAAGTGGTAGGGTAGGGGACAGATAACGAGTGCATGATTCTAACGATGTGACATTGTGACAGACAATGACCAGACACGGGTGTATCCGGTACAATTCACAGCTGGTCACGTGTCACTTCAGAGATTAATTAACATGCTCGGTTTTTTAACTTTATGTAAATGTTGTGTGAACCTTTTGCATTTCGCATGTTTCGACATTCGAAACTTTGCAGATCCTTGTCACACATTTTCACTAAACCTCGTCTCCAAGTATTGCATTTTCTGACTGGTGTCAGAAGTCAGAACCCAGCATGGCGCTAGTTTCTCCACTACTAATTATCTAACGATGTTGAGGTGATTTACGAACATATATACCTCGAGTTGTTCGAGATTCGATACAACCGCACAATGCATTTTCTGACTGGTGTCAGAAGTCAGAACCCAGCATGGCGCTAGTTTCTCCACTACTAATTATCTAACGATGTTGAGGGGATTTACGAACATATATACCTCGAGTTGTTCGAGATTCGATACAACCGCACAATGCCCCAGTGAGTAACTAAATAAGTTCCACGAGGACCTTCTACTTCGAGACTGACGTAAGTTCGACACATAGAGGTTAGACAAATCGGTGTTTGACTGCATATGCATGTTGCAAGTATCAATAGCGGAAGTGAAGATCACGTATCTCCCACGAAGTCTCTAGCGACCGGTATACGTCTTGTCTGCCTCTCCCTCCAAGTCATGTTCTACGGGGTTGTGCTCCCGGAATGAATACTCACGTTTACAGTATCGACAAACAACCTCGTCTTTCAAACGCTTGCGATAAATATTTTACACTATCACACAAGCGATTTTTACGGTCGATCTTGGTCTGAAAGGCATGTTGCCTTCCGGAAATAATGCCATTGAACAGAGTCATCTAGCCATGCTCGTGATACTGGAACGGGACGTAACAGCATAGTTGACCATTGTGGGTGACCATTCATATGTATTATCTTGTGGTGGCCATGTTTTGTGAGTCCAAGTATGTACACAACGACGACAAATATTTGTGGATCGTTTTACCTCATCGTCTTCCGCAAGGACTCGATAAATTAATGTTACGTTGTTTGAACGCAGGAATACTCGACCGATGCAATATGTTCGTAATACGAGAGGAGTGATCAACGCCAACGCTTTAACCACTAGCTTACCCCACTGCCCCTTAACGTAAGATTATCGATGCAAGCATGTATTATAAAAGCAATAATCGATAAAGAAAAACCCTGTAATGCTATAGTTTCTGGTGCCTGTGCATCCTCCATCACGTAATGTCTCTACAAAACATATAAAGTCTTGACGTTGGTTATAATACGTCAGATATAATATGTATGTGAGTGATTATGGCTTTACGCCGCTTTTAGCAATACTCCAGCAATATCACGGCGGGGGACACCAGAAATGGGCTTCACACATTGTACCCATGTGGGGAATCGAACCCGGGCCTTCGACGATCGAACGCTTTACCCTTTAGGCTAACCCACCACCTCAGATATAATGAGACTTTGATACGATTCAATATATGAAACGAAGGCTGATTCTATCCTGAGACGCCTTTCCCGAGCACGTATCACTTCAACACGCCCCCTCTATCCAGTTTATTGATATATCGAGGAGATCGGATGGTTAGTCACGAGTTTTCAGCTGCAGTAGATACACCTTAATCCCTGGTCTATAGACACGAGGGCACGCTTCGAGACGCTGGCTAATAGATTATGTGAGCAAGAGCAAATACCTCTATTCCCGGTTGACATCACTATGTTATATACACCCACTCAGGAACACAAGAATGGAAACGTGTAATTTCGAGCTTTAATCGATCCTGACTATTCGGTCTTTATCACTCACTGTAAAAAAGTATAGACATAGAGAGTGTGTGGGTGACTTGTGTTTTAATCCGCTTTCATCAATCAAGATCTTTTTATATTGAATACGACCCGTGAAGATCCGGGCTAGAATTAATCTTCAGTAACCAATGTTTGTCCTAAAAGGCGACTAACGGGATCGCGGGTCTTGGTTGATATATGTCATCGGTTCCCAGTTGCGTACATCGGTGCTCATACTGTTGATCACTGGATTATCTGGTCCAGACTCTATTATTTACAGACCGCCGCCATATAACTTGAATATTGCTGAGTGCGGCGTAAAACTCACTCACTTTTTTACTTACAGAGAGCGATGGTTCAAATATGCCTGAGCATGCGAGAAGATATTCCATGTTTTGATGTGTATTTCTTTGTTTTTTAGGTATAATCAAACAACACGTTGCCAACGGAGGTGTTGGAAAGGTAATTATGTAAACATGTACTAAACAAATATCTCGTAAACCAGTTGAATTAATGACGGTGTTCTCTAAATAATCGAGTGTGATCGAGACAATGCATGCCGTGATCAATATCATAAGCGTCAATCCAAGCAAGTGTGATACGGCGACAGGTAATCAGCCAAGTCACCGAGACTGTTTGTTTGTTTGTTGTTTAACACCGCACTCAGCTGTATTCCAGCTATATGGCGGCGGTCTCTAAATAATCGAACCCGAACCAGACATTCCAGTGATCAATCTCATAAGTATAAGTCAAAGCAAGTGTGATACGCCAAGGCAATTAGCCATGTCACCGAGACGGACCAGTCGATCCAGTCGCCTCTTACCTGTTTCCTGAGATAAACTTACAGTAATTATGATATATCCACGCACATCATATATAGTTATTACTTGTTTGTGGGATATTGATGGTGTGATTAAACGGGACTAATTGAGTGAGTGTAGTTTTACGCCGCTTTTAGCAATATTCCAGCAATATCAGGGCAAGGGACACCAGATGCGACACATCGTACCCATGTGGGGAATTGAACCCGGGTCTTCCGCGTGACGAGCGAACGCTTTAACCACAAGGCTACCCCACCGCCCCTATACAGGACTGACCATTAATAGCAAAACAATAAACATGAAACAAGAAATGGGTACTTTAAACAGCCACTTGACTCTTAGATCATTCATGCCGTTTCATTCTCGTTATTTTATCATGGTTCGATTTATTTACAGCGTTTTCAAAATAAAACGAAAGAAAGCATGATGAACTAAAAGTCATTTCTGGCTCAATGGGAATTCCGTGATGAATCTCGTTTCATAAACTTCATGTAAACTAAAGCCGTTGTACTTCAAGTGAACACAACTGTTTGCTAATGGCGACACCAACCCTCCTGACACGAATGGCTGTCGCTAAATGTGTCATGCGATACTCTAACTCTCGTGTTTATTACTGTACTTGAAATATTTGAAACTGTTGCATTAACACACGGCACAGGAAAAAACACGTACTTTGAGATTTGAAGGAGACATACAGATAAAATATTAAAAATAGATTATGAAAAAAATGAATAACATGTCTTTGGTCTTTCGAATATTTCATAGCAACTATAATTTAACTGATGTCTTTCAGTGGCATTTAACTGTTAATCAGCAATTACATGATTTAATCAACAACATCAGCTTAAATCACCAATCATCTGGTTAGCATCACAAATTTTCATTCATTGAAATTCATAATATACAGGCCAACAGATATCTCTTGGATTTTGTCACTCTTAAGGATGTTCGCTGGTCACGTTTTGAACTTCTGCGCAACTCAAACAGACGTATTCGGCAATGATTAAGGACAACCACAATAAATAATACTCACTAATAATTTTATTTTGATTGAGTCTATAGGTGTAATTATGGACTCTTTACATCGCATTAAATATAATCAACACTTACAAATCGAAATCTAATGGTTATGTCACGACTGCTGCAAAGCAAAATATCTCTTCCGGTAGCGTTGTTTGTAAATAGCGACGACCGTAGCCTGGTAGTGATGGCACGCTTGAAACATGGTTTCAAATCAAAGAAGCAAAAGCACCGTCTTGAAGAAATATCCAAGCGACAGAAAGACAGATGGAGGGTGAAGGAAACGTGTGCTTCCGTGAAAGTAGATCACGACTTTTTGAAACTCAGCGCCGTCTCGTGGCGGGGACGTGGTGCCAAGCCTAGATCAGACAGGGGTGGATATCAACGTCGCCGTGCTCCCGCCAGGGCGACGGGCGTAGGGGCAAGTGTAGTGAGGCGACACGCACGACTGGACACTCCCACCTCCAGTCGTCCCAGTTTATCCTACACCGGTAGGTGGGAGAATAGGGATCTTTTGGGAAAATTGGTCCATCCTAGAGGATCCATGCGTCACCGATATATTGAGGCAGGGGTTTCGGCTCCCCCTCCTCTCCGATCCACCTCTGACACTGTTCCCGCTCCGGCACAATCACTCTCAGGTTCAACACGACCTTCTAGCGGAGAACATAGCGATTTTGTTGGAGAAAAGAGCCATCGAATTACTCCCGTATCCCGTCATAACACCAGGTTTTATTCTCCAATATTCTTAGTGCCGAAGAAAGGGTCCGCGAAAATGAGGATGATTCACAATCTGTCCTATTTCAACGAGACTTTCCTGGAACGTCCTCCGCACTTCGAATGACGTCCCTCGAATACCTCAAATCTATGGTATGCGTCAACGACTTCCTCATCAGCCTGGACCTACAGGATGCATACCTCCATGTTCCAATACGCCCCAGCGACAGGAAGTACCTGCGCTTTATTTTCAACAATCAACATTTCCAATGGGCTGTCCTCCCATTTGGAATTTCAACGGCCCCGTGGTTGTTCACACGTATCACAACTCAATTTCCCGGTATCTGCATTTTGAGGGGCATCAATTTCGACCCGTACCTGGACGATTGCCTAATGCACCTGTTACACCGTCTACTTCTTATACAACAACGGGATTTCACCCTTCGTCTGTTTCACCTTTCGCCGACTAGGGTGGCTGGTCAACTTGGACAAATCGGAGCTTGTCCCGACTAACACTCTGACATTCATCGGAGGCCATTTCCAGACGGACAAGAACCTAGTTCAGTTTCCTCTGGACAGGTGGGACAAGATTCAGTCTCTGATTCCACGTGCGCTCTCCCAACCTCTGTCCCTCAGAGAGTGGCAGTCACTTCTGGGATTGTTGACGTCGGCGCAGGATCTTACCAGCAGAGGGCGTCTTCAACTTCGTCCTCTGCAGCGCTTTCTTCAACCATACATTCGTCGGGCAGACGTTCATCAACGGTTTTGCCTACCACCTCAGTTACATCGCTATATTCTTTGGTGGACTCGCCCATTGAACGTCTTAGGAGGAGTCTCTTTTACAGAGCAGCATCAGGATTGCCAACTGTTCGTGGACGCCTCCCTGCAGGGTTAGGGCGCTCACTTACACGACCAGACAGCCTCCGGCCTGTGGTCGGGTCAACACATCAACTGGCATATAAACAGTCTGGAGTTGGAGGCCGTGATCCTCGCTATTCATCATTGGGCACATCGACTACGAGGAACTTGTCTTCTAGTGGCTACAGACAACACCACGGTCGTATGGTACATACGAAGGCAAGGGTCGACACGCTCACAGCTTCTCCTCGATCAGACCTTTCGGCTCTTTCAACTGGTCGACGATCTCCACATTCTGTTGAGAGTTCGGCATATTCCGGGGTGCCGCAATATACTAGCAGACGCTCTCTCGAGACCCGACAGAGTTGCTCCCACGGAGGCCTTCACTCTCCTAAGTCACGCACTCGGTTCTACAAACATCGATCTGTTTGCCACCAGCCAAAACCATCAACTGCCAGTGTATGTATCCCCAGTCCCGGATCCAGCGGCTTGGGCGGTGGATGCTCTCAGCCTATCGTGGGAGGGACTTCACGCGTATGCGTTCCCGCCACCAGTTCTATTACCCAAAGTTCTCGCAAAAGTCAAGGAGACAACTTGCCTACGACTGATTTTGGTCGCGCCTTGGTGGCCGGCCAGGAACTGGTTTCCCGTTCTAAAAGTCTAGTGGTAGGAGATCCCTTCCCTCTACCCACGTGGAGGAACGTTCTCGTGCACCCTCACAGCCGTCTTCCGCATCCGGCTCCAGACCGATTCAATCTGCACGCATGGACCATTTGCAGAAAGCACTGAGTGCTAAGGGTTTTTCGGCTAGAGCAGCCAAAGCCATTGCGACGGCGCACAGAACTTCTACTAGACATTTGTATGACGACAAGTGGCAGTCGTTTGAACGTCTTTGTGTTACCAAGAAGCAGGATCCGCTGACTGTGTCTCCTCAGTTCATAGCAGATTTCTTACTTTATCTCCGAACGTCCAGGCGTCTGAAGGGAGGCCATGCTTCTCTCATTTCGACTTGAAGACCAGAAGTTGAAGTTTCGTCCGCCGGCATGGAATCTCAGCACTGTTTTAGACCATCTCCGTGGTGCACCTTATGAACCTCTTGATAACGCTTCCCTCGCTGATTTATCCAGGAAGACGGCTTTTCTGTTGTCATTAGCGACTGCGGCTAGAGTGAGTGAGGTTCACGCCCTTGACGTGACTAGGATCAAGTTTGAACGTCGTCGTCATGGTTCTGTGCACTTAGGTCTGTGTTAGGTTTTCATCGCTAAAAACCAACTACCAGGTCAACCTGATCGACAGTTTTCCATCCCGCCATTATCATCTATTGTTGGCGCTGAAGACGATGCGGAATTACTGTTATGTCCGACTCGTGCGCTCAAAGCTTACATTGATCGCACCAAAGGCGTCCGTGGTACAAGGAAACGGTTATTTCTTCCCCTGTCCCGGGCGTCACAGTCAGATGTCAGCAAAAACACAATTGCCTTATGGTTAAGAACAACCATTCTTCAGGCATATAAAGCGGCTGGGCTGGACCCTCCTACATCCTCTCATCCCCACGAGATTCGAGCACTTGCTTCGACTATGGCACTTCACAGTAATTGCACTGTGTCATCCATTATGCAAGGTTGTTTTTGGCGGTCGGACACAGTGTTTGCCAGTCATTATTTGCGTGACATGGCTTTTCTTCAGAAACAACTAGGTATGTCAGTTAAGGAGTTATCCTTGTTTTTTTCAAGTCCATGCTTTTTGCTGCATTCCTTAAGCTTCGCCAGCTTTAAAATTAGTGGGTTCTTTTCATTTAAGACGCAGTCTTATTTGCGAATTACCGCTACCTGATCGTCACTCGCTAATTCGCTCTCTGTTATAGGCGCGTTATCAACGCTTCCCGAGCACGGGATTACGGATTGAGCTGGCTGCTATTACGTAAGCGAGGCGATCCCTCAGATGACACGCCCACCTTCCAGCCTGTCGGATAAAGTGCAGGAAGTAAGTAGTGCAGGATTAGTTAAAAATTTAGTAAAATCTAAATATTTTTATATTTGTATTCTTATCCTGTACTACTTATGATAAGGGCCCACCCTGTGCTATCAGCTACCTCCCCGCTTACTTTTGCCATCTGTGGGATTTCTGGCAATAATCTGAGGGTGGCTGACGTCACCTTCCGGTGACGCATGCGCAATCGAGTAAGCAGCCGAGACCAGGAAGTGATTGCAGTTCTACCTCTTTTTGACATCGTCTGGCAAGCCACGCTTTTCGAGCCGTAAGCAATAAGTGCAGGAAGTAAGTAGTGCAGGATAAGTATACAAATATAAAAAATATTTAGATTTTACTAAGTTTGACAACTATGCTATACACAAAGTAAGACTTGCCAGTCTTGGGAACACACAATCCAATGAAAGTTTTAACAAGACCGTGTCTAGCAAGGCACCAAAATCTAGACATTATTCTGGCTCCTCAAGTCTTCACTTCAGGGTCGCTGCTTCCGTTGCACAAAAGAAAGTGGGCCACAGCTACATTATAGCTGTAAGAAATATGTATTCTGTTCTATGGTTCCATTTCAGTTGATTTGAAATCATTTAGAAGTTGAATTAGAAATGTATTCTGTTCTACAGTTCCAGTTCAGTTTTGTTAAAATCATTTTAGAAGTTGAATTTGAAATGTGTCTTGTTCTATAGTTCCAGTTCAGTTTATTTGAAGTCCTTAGGAAGGGGAATGTGGCTAAAGATTAAAGATAAAGTAAAGCTGATTTAAGTTTGAATTGAAAAGTTATGGCCCATGATTGTTGACAATATACTATTAATTCTTTAATGGTTACAGGGATGATGAGGTCCCTCTTAAATTACTTTGTTCTGTTTTATGCTACTTTTATCCTGGTCTCAGATATGCAAAAATATATATGAAAAATCATTCCTATTCTTTAGTGGCTTAAAAGAATTCTTATGTTAATCAATGGTGTAATGTGTAACACTCTAAGTGCCTTAAAGTTATAAGAAAACTTCATGACCATTTATTAATAATTGATAATCCTCCTCTACAGGTTAACAGGACTCTTGGACTGTCACCTGGGACATATACCAGACAGCATTTCACACTGAAAGATCTTCCGCATCGCAAACGAAAGGCTATTGCATCAACGATTGAAGCTAAACAGCATAGATTACATCTAAAGGTTATGAGGTATGTCAGCTTTTAACTCTGACCTCAAGTGAGAGTGAGAGTTTATTGACAGTATGGGGGGCCACTGGCCCATTATACATACAGAAGATACAGTGTATTACACCACCAAGCGCCTGCGACACATACACATACACACATATATATATATATATATATATACATACATATACATACATACATACACACATACATACATATATATATCATTCATGCAATGACAGGAAACGTGCTCGTAGTTTGAACGCTAGGAATACATACTTTGCAAGCAATGATAACACATGGACATTTTTACTTGCTATCAACTGTTTAAATTTGTTTTCCGAAGGGAATGTATGATAATAAGCAGGAATAATAGCTCGTCTCAGTCCATCATAAAATGGGCATACTAAACAAAAGTGATATTCTGATTCAATATTTCTAACCACACACAAAGGACATAACCTTTCTTCCCTAGCTAAACCTAGTTTCCTACCTTGTTCAATTAATAATATATGACTGGAGCAGCGGAGTGATGAAAGGGCAATACAGTAAACTTTCACTGGTAAACACGAGAGGTAAAGTTCAAAATTTGCGTCATGTTTTATAGAACGGTACAGAGTTAGTTTATTATACTTACGGAGGGCTTCGAACCAACGTTGTTTATCGATATCTATACATCTTTGTTTGAAACACGAAATAAAATGGTTTATAATGCCTACATCCTGATTTATCCACACTTCCCCGAATCCATAGTGAAACAATAATGATTTGACTTCTAATGCCCAACAACTCAAGCCCTTGTTTGCTAGAGACAACTGGTAAGAATATGCTTTCTTTAGAATAACATTATCTTCTTGATACAACAGTCTTACCCAAAACTTTACAATCCTTATGTAACAATTGACTTTAATTGAATGCCGTCCTAGTTCACCACGTGCCACAATATTTGGTACTGATCTATGTAAAAATAGCATGTCCTTACAGAAACGATCATGAACTCTTTCCACATCGGGTATTGAGTGAAAACCCCACACCTCGCAACCATAGATAAGAACTGGCATGATTTTGGCATCAAATATGTGGCATAGCATATGAATTGGTAAGTTACGGTAGTTATTTACTTTAGACTTCAAACACTGAATAACCTTGGTGGCTTGGAGAGCTAATGTTTTCTGAGCAACGTACCACGACCCAGAACTTGCGAAATGCACTCCGAGGTATTTATAAGTAGGGACAATGTCTAGGGTTCGACCACTGAAAGAAATTTTTTCATAAAGCTTAAGTCTTCCTTTTTTTCTGAACACAATGACTTTACTTTTGTCTATATTAACCAATAGCTGCCACTTGTCACAATACTTTGACAACTTATCTAATCTCTTTTGAAGACCTATAACTGTACTATCCATCATCACTATATCATCTGCGAACAGAAGCATAAACACTTGCAGCATACCGATACTAATAGACCATTGATTGTCCTGTCCTAAAAACTCGGCTATGTCATTTATAAAAACGAGAACAAAGGGAGACAACTGACAACCTTGCCGGACTCCAAAGTTGCAGTCAAAGAACTCAGTACAACCATTCCCAACAAGGACACAAGATTTTATATTAGCATACATATTTCTTATAAATTTGAAAATACGACCCTTTAATATTACCAATCCATAATTTGTACAAAAGACCAGTATGTGTAACCGAGTCAAACGCAGATTTTAAATCTATAAAAGCACAGTATAGTCTGCCCTTATACAATGACAAGTATTTGTTTATTACAGTATTTAAAATGAAAATATTATCTGTAGTTTGAAAACCTTTTCTGAATCCAGCCTGCTCGGAGCTAAAATATTTTCTTGAGTGGCCCAAAGTGTTAACCTATTGCAAATAATTTTAGAAAATATCTTTCCTGACACCTCAAGGAGTGTAATTGGTCTATAATTACCCGGCTCATTGGGATCACCCTTCTTATATATAGGAAGTATAACTCCCAACGTCCACTCCGTAGGGTAGACACCTGTCTGGAAAATTGAATTAAACAACAATCTTAGCATTTCATAACACTCAGGTGGAGCATATTTGTAAAACTCCAGGGGTATTCCACTAAACCCTGGAGATTTCCCTAGCTGCATATCATTTATAGCTGTAACGATTTCTTCAAACGCAATGTCCTTATCCAGATAGTCATTATCAACTGTACTGTCCATGAGTTCATCATCAATAGAATCGATAAATTCAAACACAGAAGCATAAAATTCTTTTCACAATCTGCTATGTTCGTTCCTTGAAATAAAGAATAAAATGTTCAGTCCAGCCTGAGGGTGAAATACTATTACGCTTGAAATTATAGGACTTAAAATGTGACCAGAACAGTTTACTGTCTTTGGAGGTTAAGGCATCATTCAAAGTTTGTACAAAGTGTCTGACCTCAAGTAGAAACTTATTTTTTGGTGTCCCCGCCGTGATATTGCTGGAATATTGCTAAAAGTGGCGTAAAATCATACTCACTCACTCACTCACTCACTCTAGTAGAAATATATATATATCATATTCTACCATGATAGAGAAGGATACAAGAACTTGGTCGGTCTTGAAAGACATTGTTAATGATGTAATGCTCTGAGGCCCTATATTCCGTAATGAAGAACGAAGTAGTCTACAGATATGTAACCATCATACTCATTGGACTATTGACCAACATAATAGTTTCTCATAAATCTGTTTCAGAAGTCAGAAGCGAACAGTTCAAGAAGTCAGAGAAGGTACGACATACTCTGCCATGGTTGACATGTCTGAGGCGACTGACACCGATGACCTAGTTAGCATTCCTCCACCACTTCCTGTACCTGTCCAGAAGCCTCTTCAGCTTAACAACACCACAGAGATATTCTTTGATCTTGAAACTACTGGCTTAGGTATGTAAAATATAAGTGAAATGGAAATAGAGATTATCACACGAATCAGGTTTGGGATGGTAAATACCTAGCATTAGGAATAAATACTCATTTACCATCCCAAAATACACTTGTGTTATCGTACCATGTCGTTCTTCTTTCTATTACCACTAAATGACCTGCAACATTATGTAGCTGATAGAAAATGCCCTGAAATGTGCACATTAATGCATTTCAGAGAAACACAGGTGAATGATAGATAATAGAAGCAGGAACCCATTTGGAGATATTACGAATGTTTTTAAATTTTGATAGATGCTATGTTTTACCATGTTTAATAATTTTGATACACTTTGCTTGGCGTTTCAAATATTCAATAGAGTGACTTCATAAGGATTTTGAAAAGAAGTTGAGGCATTTGATCTCTAATTTGCATCGATACCCGTGATATGACCCCAACGGATATAAAAATATCCGTTGACTTTTATTCTGACGAGGACACTATGCATTGTAAGATATATTTGAATATTAAGATCTTGAATTTACTACCCTGCAAAAGTTAGACTCACAATGCATTTATAGCGAGAACATCCTCATGTGACACAGTTAGCTGCAGTCCGGGGTGAAGAACGATTCAACCGCTATGTTGTACCCGAGGTACAGATTACTCCAGCTGCTGCACAGTTCACAAGCATACGTGTTGAGGGGAGAAGGATGTTTCACTACAGTGAAGAAGTTTATCCTGTATCTTTAAAGACGGCTATTTGAGACCTGATTTCCTTTCTTAGCAAAAGTGAAGGCAATGTTCCGGTTGGGCACAATATCAAGTTATATGATTGTCCATTACTTTTCAATGCATTACTTGCCATTGATTACATACCACAATTTTCAAATCATGTACATGGTTTCTAGATACACTTCAGCTATTCAAATTGACAAATCCTGGACTTAATTCATACGCTCGGGTTGAGTTGTTTAAAAATATTGTGGGGAGTGACTATGTTGCACATGATGCCTTGTCAGATGCCTTGTCATTGCAACAGCTGTACTCAACTTGTCATGCTTCTCTTGATGCAAAGACCCAATCTACTTTTGTGTGAAGTACTGTACAGACTCCTTGGCACGGTCTAAAGCTATAAAAGCTGATCTTCCAAGCCTTCAACACCTTGTGTGTGAAAAGGTTTTATCTACAAATATGGCCAGAAAGATAGCCTCTGCTTTGACCACTTGAAAGTAGTTTACTAGAGACAGGGAGATATTGGATTATCCAATGTGTTTGCTGAAAAGTACCAGAACAAATGCAGGGTAACAAGTTCTCAGAAGATAGTAAATTCTCTATCCCACTACCTTTCCAAAGTTACAGTTTGATCAAACTTTGTTGTTTCAAGATGACCTGTATTTTGTTTAGTTCAGTGCTTTACACTGTACAATTCGATTATCTTAAAAGATATTTTTTACCCCACCGTGAGTTTAGCATGAAGCGGAGGGTATTAGGTTCTGTCCATCCGTCCGTCCATACAAAAATTGGAATATTTCTGGAACCATTAACTAGATTCTTTTCATATTCGGTACCTTGGTACAAAATGGTATGGGGGCGGTGGGGTAGCCCTAATGGTTAAAGCGTTGGCTCGTCACGCCGAAGACCCGGGTTCGAATCCCCATGGGTACAATGTTCGAAGACCATTATTTGGCGTAGAACCAAACTCCGTCAGTCAGTCAGTCAAAATGGAATGAGAAAGGTCCCAGTCAGGTTTCACCATTTCAAGATTACAAGGGAGGTAACACTTTATTAAAGTCAGCGAGATATAGAGGGTATTTTATTGCTTATTATATGCTTCATTGATGGAAAATGAGGTATGATAAGTCAAAATTGGTCCACTTTAGCTGTTTCTGATGTCATCATACCATTGCTGCACTGTCACTTATCAACCGCTGATGTTCAGGTTGCATCATCCTCTTTGTGATATTTTCACAGTGATGAGAAAAGCGATATCTCACTGTAGTGATGAGCACTTTTCTCACTGTTTAGCATATAATAAATCTCAAAAACAGTTCACTGGATTTCTTTTCATACTTGACACCAGACTTCATCTAGAGAAGGTGCAGGGATCACTGTTGTTTTTGGTGACCTTGACATATTTCTCAAGGTCACGGTGACACATTGAAGATTTCAGCAGATCTTCACTATCATTCCTCTTTAATTTTGAATTGTCACCTTAGGAGATTATGTCACTGAGATCATTTTGCTTGAATTTAAAAATTATCATGCTTTAGCTGATTAATCATTTGCAAATACATACAAATGTTATTGTTTATTGTGGAATATATGTTTGGCTTCAATACAAGCCCAACATTTTGTTATATCCACAACACCACATGTATTTATGTGATAGTGTAAAAATCATGTTGAAATAACAGATTAGCCTTCCTAACTTATTGATATCTATTTATCTTCATGAATTGTGATATAGCTCACTGATTACTTTATTTATTATAAATGGCTTATTGAATATATTACCAGGACGTGTTAATACTTTTTTCATTTATAACATAGATGTGTACATAGCTGTTACATCAAGTGATTATAATGCTAAACTTTTATATCCAAAATGTTATGTATAACTTTAAAATCAAATGTACATGTATGTATGATATGAAATAAAAAGTACCATAATGTAATAAATGTAAAATTTCATTGTTAAGATTGTGTGTGTTTTGTTATTTAAAAATAATATTATTAAATAATTACTCCATTGAAAATATAGAGTCTAGAATGATATAACCATTTCAGTCAATGGTGAATAATGCCCAGTGTGTCAAATTTCTCAACTCTTCACCTTTTCGCTTAAAATATCAGATAAATGTTAACATGGATGCACTTAAGCTAAGATATTTGAATTGTCAATGCAGTAAGTCATTCAAATATTTGAGGAAAAACTATTTAAGCCACATATATCCTTAATTTTATCATGAAAATTACATAACATTGGTGCAAATATGTAATATAATGTTACACATTGTGTCATAGTGGAAAAATACCCTCAGTAACCCATGTTTTTTTATACTTATTTTTATGGCAAAACATGTTGTCATTAACATATCTGAATTTTGAAAAATTAAATACTAGAAATTATGAAAATGAGGGATCATGTCAGAACTTTGCTGATTTTCCCATAGACTCCCATGTTAAAAGTCTTGGCTTGCCAAGGATTCTTCAAGACTCCATATCTCCAGAAAACCCACAGTACCCCCTCCTTTTCTGGGCTGTTTTTACAAATACAAACGTCATACTTTAAAAATATACCAATTAGAAAAAAAGTTTAATACTATTTATTATAACCCACTGAGTTACCAGCTTGATATGGTGTTGAGCTACCATGCGTAATGGCAAGCCATTTTTACATTTATTGAGAAATTAAGATATTGTATACTGTTTTAAAGATATCTTTATCTAACTGCAAGATACCAGCAACTAAATTACAGATATCATTAAAACATGAATTTGTACGTCTTTAAATCCTACTCTGATATCATTAAACCAAATAAAGATATTAGCAATTCTTTTCAAGGTATTAATGAGTTTCAATATGTCCTTATTTCATTTCGCGATGTCATGAATTGTATCGCAGATAGCTTTAATTATCCCTATGTTTAATTCATTTTAAGATATCCCAAATCCAATTCCAGATATCTTCAATTCAATTCAATTCTAGACATTTTCATTCAAAATATATTAAGGCAATTGAAGATATCTGTACTTTATACTTAAAATGTGAAAATGTCTTGCCATAATGCCATAGTAAACTGACTCAAAGCCGAGCACACTTTGTGCAGTCACCGTAATGCCGGACACCTGCAGGTTCATAATTAGTACCATCGTTTAACGTCCTTTGTAATGACACAGCCGTAGATCGAGGCCGACCTTTCGCTGTCCGCTTCATAAGGCCTCTATCTTATCATCATGAATCTAACCGCTGTCATACAGTATCAGGGCCAGATAAGGGCGTATGTACGGATATAAAATATGCACGATACGGTAGGAAATAATTTAGAAAACGTAGCAGATACGCACCACAGCAATGTTGCACGGTCATAGAATCATTTACAGACGTATTTATCTGAAAAAATATTGTTTTATTATTTATTGACCTTTTTACACAAGAGTAGTGCATATATGAAACGAAACACAAGATTACTGATCCGCCATTAAATTCCATTCAGTACTCTAAATGTACTCCTAGGTTTTCCAGTACTCCTATATTGAAAAAATAAGGAGTACGTATGATGTTGAAAAATCATCTGAGACCTGCAGATGCCATAGTAATGAAATTGGTCGATCCTGTCAGTTGTCGTATATCCATGCTTTTCTTTAATACGAGTCCATTATTGCACGTTTATCTACTAGGGGTGGGTATTGCAGAGAATTTTCATATTGCGATATATTGCGAGAAAGCATATATTGCGGGGCGGTGTGGTAGCATATTGCTGAAGCGCTAGCGTTCGCCTGTGACGCTGAAGACCGGGTTCGATTCACCACATGGGTACAATGTGGGAAGCCCTTTCTGGTTTCACTCGGAATTCCGGTTGATGTTGTTGAAACATTGCCAAAGCTGCTTAAAACATTGCTCACTCATTCATTAGGTCGAAGACAAAAGTTCTATTCCATTCATGACTACAATGTGTAAAGCCCAGTTCTTGTGTTCCCAGTCCTGATGTTGCTGGAATATTTCTCAAACATGATGGACGCTTGCGTAAACACACAGAACAACAGATTTTGATTGTCCGGATAAATGGACGCTTGCGTAAACACACAGAACAAATTTTGATTGTCCGGATAACTGAACATGTTTAATGCATATTTTAGCCATGAAGAGAGCATCGAGACCATTAACCTGATCAACTTATTCCAGTTTCAATGAATGTCTTCTGGATAGCAGGATTTCTGGATAGCTGACGTCCGTTTTAGTGGGGACTCACCGTAGGCAGAGAGACAGACAGACACAAAGGATTTAACATGTGGTACATAAGATTTATTATATCTATACACTGTACGCGCATGTTTTTTAAAATATCTAAATAGGTTCGGTCATGGGATAATGAAATCAGGGATATACAAGCAAATAAAAAGGATATATTCCATTTTCTTTAAGTGCCGTGGATTTCGGAGTGTCTGACGACAGGATTATTGAGAACACAGTTTAAACTGTTGAATGCGTAGAACGCCGCTTTGGATGGTGTTTTAGTTTATATCACGATGTTGTGGCTTACTGTGGCGATACAGTCGTAGGGTGTTACCACCTTCGACATCATGATTTTGTTCAACGCCACGCCACCCTCATCAACATTCTAGAGTGACAGAGCCTGACCACTTATGTCATATGGCAAAGACAGGTTGTTGGGACTAATTCTTACTGAGAGACGTCGGGGAAAGTGGACCACAGTAACTGAACTGACGTACAAAAGAAAGTACACTATGGTGTTTTCAAGTTTTGGCAACGCGTAAACAACGTTTGTGACATGTGAGTCAAAATCAGAACATTTTTCAAACAATTTACGTTATTTTACAAAAAGCCTTGGTCTTCATCAACCCATGCTTGTCGCAAGAGACGACTAACGGGATCGGGTGGTCTGGCTCGGTGACTTTGTCGACACATGTCATCGTATCCCAGTTGCGTAGATCGATGCTCATGCTGTCGATCACTGGATTGTCTGGTCCCGACTTGATTATTTACAGACCGCCGCCATATAGCTGGAATATTGCTGAGTGCGGCGTTGAACAACAGCCACCCAACCAACTACGCTCAATGGAAACTCAAGGCTTTAAAACTACATGTATATATAAAATGGAGGGCGGGTAGCTCAGTAGAGAAAGGGGCCACAATTCATTGGGAGAGTCACAGGTTCGTCAGACATCTAAGACTTCTTTGATTGGCATTAAGACATTGTCGGTTCGAAACAAAGCTTCTTTCTCCCTATGTTCTTGCTTTGTCAGCAATGTCGGTTTTACCAAAGTAGGTAACCGTCTAATCACGGCAGTGATATTACTGAAATTTTATAATCTGTTTTAAACTAAACTATCACCATCGAAAACATTCAAACTGGTACATAGGAAAGTAAGACCTGACACAGAGTGTGTTTTTGTACATAAAGGAGCATTGTGTTGCTATCCTGGGAAATCACAATGCCATAAAGCATGGATTTACTTCATACGATCATGAGAGGGAGACGCTGGCCCTCTGAGTACTTGTCCTCTACAAACTGACAAAGGCAGATGGCGTTGCGGACGTGCCTAGGGCCATGTTTGACCTTGAGCTGACCTTCCTTGTAAGCGGAAGTGTAGTCAAGGCAGTGGTGTTGAAACAGCTGCGATGCCTGTGAAGACAAGTTGATCCTTACAGTATTGTGGCAAAGTTGAATTACAGTATTTTGAAGGCAACGAATTGACCTACGGGTGGATTTCACGCAGTCTTCAGAATATACTAATATAATGGCAACCTATGTATGCTCCTTGGCCCCAGATAAGACGATCTTGTTCATCGACTAAAAGGCAACTGACTGCATCTCCAGCTCAGCCATTACAAGAACATCCTCTGCCCAACCCAACTATTACATCTCCAGCGCAGCCATTATAAGAGCATCCTCGGCCCAACCCAACTGACTGCATCTCCAGCCCAGCCATTGCAAGAACATCCTCTGCCCAACCCAACTATTACATCTCCAGCCCAGCCATTACAAGAACATCCTCTGCCCAACCCAGCAGCTCAGCCATTATAAGAGCATCCTCGGCCCAACCCAACTGACTGCATCTCCAGCCCAGCCATTACAAGGCATCCAACCCATCTGACTGCAGCAGCAGCCCAGTCTTTAGTAACTGCATCTCAAGCTCAGCCATCACTAGAGCATCCTCGGCCCAAGCCCCACTGACTGCATCCCTGGCCCAGTCATCACTAGAGCATCTTCAGCCCAATCCTAAATGACTGCATCTCCAGCCCAGCCATAACAAGAACATCCTCGGCCCAACCTTAAATGACTGCATCTGCAGCCCAGCCATTACAAGAGCATCTTCGGCCCAACCCTTACTGACTACATCCTTGGTCCATTCATTTCCAACAATATCCCTGGCCTAAGCCTTAATGAGAGGATCACGGACCCAACTCAACATTGATTCACTGAATTCATTTGCAGTCACAAAAACATGGAACATTAATTTTGAAAAGTTGTTATCGATTTTACGACTGCTTCTGATCTACTGAACGTTTGGGATCGTGATTGTCAGAAATGAGCTGACGATATTACCCTTCTCCATGAATCATCGATAATGTATAGAGAAGGTATGATTCATATATAACAAACAAAATATATACAGTACTAACCTTGTCTGCATTTGAACCAGATTCAAGATGTCTTCCTTCAATTCCTTCCAGAAAATTGGCCAAAAAGTTCTGAAAGTAATCAAAACTGTTACGTTTTGGTATGTTTGTTGTTTAACGCTGCACACAACAATATTCCAGCTATACGGTGGCGATGTGTAAATAATCCAGGCGGTCTGTAAACAATGGACCAGACAATCCAGTGACTGACAGTACGAGCAATGATCTATGCAAAGGGGATACCTCATGCATCAACCTAGTCAGCGATCCTGACCACCTGATCTTGTTTGTCGCCTCTGACGACAAGCATTCCAACCTTCACAGGTAAACAGTTACCTGGGGAACGAGGAAATACACACTGCAAACTGGAGTCACCAGTTTCACTAGTTTACATCACTATGAGATTACACAACTGACGTTAACCATGACCCTTATGAAGCGATAATCGATATCACATTGTGTGCACTGTTACTCTCAACTTTGTAGGTACTATACCTGTACAAAGATCAGTCAATATGCAGGTTATAGTTGTTTTATGCAAAATCACCAGTGCTTACTGAAGCTCGAGGTAGTTAACACAAACCCCAGGTATATAAATGGATGACGAATCTGACTATTCTGGATTTTTATGATTACTTTACATCAAAGAATGTCAATGCACACTTTTCAAGTTATACAATATCATCATTAAAAATGAAAAAGCATGAACAGTTTCGTACGTACCTTGCATTCCGTTGGATTATAAAACCAAAATTGGAGCTGAAAATAGCGATGGACTTCTTAATACACTTCCCATCAAAAGTTTAGACCCACTTAAAACACTCACTATATGTTATGAATATATATATGGTATCGAAGATTGATTTCACAACTAACTTGCGGGAACCATCTGCAAACCTTATGCATATGAATTGTACGAGGATCAAGCATCAAATTGCTGATAAGCATGTGCAAATATCGTGCATGTGAACATCTGCGTTTTGGTGTAAAGTTTTGTTAAGAATTCGCCAAATTTCACTGATTTTGTTTTTTTTTAACTCATGACAAAAATCTTACCAACGTTACGAATTTGTTTAACAATACATCAGTTCATGTGTAAACAGTACCTTCAAGCAGTATGGAATATTTTGCAAAATTTAGTTAAAGGTCACATGCAACGTAAAACACAACTTTGCAGATTCTGATACCTTTCGGTATGGACTTACCGAAACAAATCATTAAAAATGCAAATTCAACTTATAAAGTTGAAAATAACGCGATGATAAAAACCGCGCGAAATCGGAGTTCAAACGATTCACTTATTTTCCCCCGAAAACTGGTTTCAACAGCTGGGCTGCGCTCATAGCACGTGCGCAGTGAAATAGGTTCGCGCAACCTGGAAGCGGGCTGTCCGGTGAATATTCGGTGAAGGCTTTGGTGTGAGCTATTTTCCTAATGTTTTGTTGATATCTCACAGGCGCGAGCTTTTTATATGTTATGACAGTAAATAAACTGTTTATATAATTTCATTTGTCTATTTCACCACACTTCTTCCTACCGAGTCACTTTCTCAATTCGACACTTAAAAGCAATGTCATCATTTAGCGTTGACAGAATTTCTAACTGTGATATAGATATGTCGTTGTCACAGACAAAACTCAATGTCTTGTTTTATTGACACCTGTGTGTCTGCCTGCCTGTCTGCTAATGACAATATTCAATACACAACTGCGATCACTGACCACATGCAATTTGAACTTAACACCAATCAGGCTATACACCATAAACAAAATGCATTGATTTATGGCCCGAGTTCGGTCTCTGTTACATTATGTAATTACACAGACAGGCAGGTGGTGATACTTGAACACATGACATGTTATGATGTCTGTTGATTGCAAAATGTTATACACAAAAAATGAACATGTATTTACAAAACCCAACATCTCTATATATACACACACACAATGAGCCGTGAGGGCATCTGCAAACGAACCAGCCGTTACACTTGAGTGCACACCCACCCGCTCTGACTGGGTTCGGTATCCCAGCTGCTTCGTTTCTTGGGAAGTAAACCCAAGTACACAATATTGCACTTTTGATTTGCGATTGTCCGCTTATAATTTTGTTTATATGTTTTTTTCATACCAGCAATGTATATTATATGTCATGAATAAGTGATAATTGTGTTTTAATTATGTTTGATTTTTTGGTTGCATGTGACCTTTAAGAACAGCTGGCTGAAGTAAGTGGCTATATTGACACTGGTACGTCTAACCTTTTGATGGGAAGTATACACACGTATTCTATGAAAGAATTGTCCTATTTTATCAAAGTGAAACTAACTCGAACCAAGAACACAGTATTATTAGCATCAGAACTATATCTAATAATGAAAAATAAATTTACTTCATTAAATGGCATGAACAAGTAGACATGATGAACAAGAAAGATCATTCTAAGGTCCCTTTCGTTTTAACAAAGACATTGAATATCCATGACCCTTGCTCAACATGTAGTTACCATTAGGAATAAGGAAGAGTCATCAGATTTAAAATAATAAAATCCTTAGAAGAGATGAGTTCTAGGGGGCTTTACGTCTCCAGAACGGCCAATTAGGTGTGAAAATATTAGACATGTAGGGTCTCCCTTTTCGGACGAAAAAAGAAAAAGCAAATATGTCACAATTTATCCTGATGTAGGAGATCTCATGGCAAAAGTGTTACAAGATTAAACATTATTTGAATCCTGTGAGCACTCCCTTTACTTACAAACTTTAAAAAATAATGGGTGAGTGAGTTTAGTTTTACGCCGCTTTTAGCAGTATTCCACCAATATCACGGGGGTCGGGTATTGGAGACACCAGAAATGGGCTTCATAAATTGTACCCATGTGGACAATCGAACCCGGGTCTTTAACCATTAGGATACCCCTCAATCCCTTAAAAGATATTGAGCGCAAACCAGATTCGAATCCACGAACAGTATGTTTCAGGTACGCTAAAGAGACGTAAATTTGCAGGGCGAATTACAATGCCCTAGGCTGTTGGGCCACCCCTGTACCAATGGTGCAATGAAATTGAGGTGATTGCCAGATGGAGAGTGGAATGATCTCTGTTGAGAACATGCGATTTCAAAAAACGTTACGAGTACTGACATATGTCCGGGTCAAAATGCAACCAGCCGTTTGCATCTTATATCCTACGATGACGTTGTACTTCAGAAATATCGCGTTGACTTCAGCAACTGCTTTTCGGAGTCGAGACCGTCTCTGGAATTAAAGTAAATTTTCCTATATCACATTTTGACGATTTTCGGGGAGTAGTAATAATTTACACAGATTATTCAAGTATTATTCAAAATGTCACCATCATTTATAAGGATTTCGCGATGAGTTGATGTTTTGGCTCAATCTACATGAGAATAGATTTCATAAAGACAGATTCTATGAAGACGCCGAAAATCTTTCTTTGGATTCCAACAGCCAGGAGAATAAATTGAAACAGGAATCTATCTCAAGTGTAAAATTATTATTAAAGTCTAGGTTGTCTCAGCTCTGGCTTTGTAGCCATTCTGTTGGGCATTGCTATAAGATAAGATATTTCAGGAAGTAAATGTCAGTCTTGGCCGAGTGAGTGAGTGGCGTTTTACATACCGCTTTTGTGTGGGGTAGGGAACATGCCCAAACAACCCATTTTAGTCGGCCATTTTTTTTTTATGACGTCACATGTGTGTGACCATTGTGTGACCTAATCGACTGTAGAACCCTTAAGCCCCCTTTGGGAGTCTCCTTCCAACCCAGGTGTGTGTGTGTGTGTGTGACCTTCAGGTTGACCTTGGTGGTCTGTGATTATTATTCAATTATTTTATGAGTTTACCGAGTGTTCACACAGCAAAATCTCTTTTCAACGTAGAATTAATATTACACAATGAGGGGAAATTAGTTGCTACTTATTAGGTCAAAAGCTGTGAAAATATCAGAGCGCATTTTGTTAAATCAAAGGTATCACTAGCCAGTTTAAAGTACGCTGTCATTGGTGATTTGGTACACAAGGAACAACTCCGAAGTTCTGAGTATTTATTTTACATATCTGTGAACAATAAACGATTGTAGCTGTTAGCAAATAAAATTCATGCACCATGTGGGCCCGTATATGATTATTGCGTGCGTGAATGGAGGGTGCAGTCTATGCACTACTACTACTAAGAGCAGAATCGCTTGCTCGCTGAGTGGGGCCGTAACTGAAGAGACATGTGACAGCTGTGATTGGGTGAAATAGTATAAGGTGTTATGTTTGTTAAAAGCACCTCCACCCAGTCATTAAAACTGACCACCATTTTAAGTATTTAATGCTGTCATTTGTATCACCATGACTTATGCGAGAACAGATATGTTCAAGCAGGTGACAGTTGGTGCGGACCTTGGAGGGTTGATGTGTTTAGCTTCCTGTTGTGTGTGGCTTCCTGTGCTCGCAAAGTTAGCCGGTTCAAGTTGACCAGAAATTGTTTTATTGTAATTTAAAGGACAGACTGTAATCATGTGTACATGGAATGGTCGTTGATAATTTTCAGCGTGGTGGTGAATGTAGTGTCACAAATGGTCAGCTTCCGTTGTTTAAAGGTCACATAAACCCTAGGGGGTAACAATACATAAATCACTAACTGGCATCCTTATAAATGAAACCCCGTCATTAAAACTACTCATTTCGACCTTTAATTGACTTAAATCGACCTTTTTGACAACAGTGCACAATTCTCATTCGCGAACGAAATTTCAACCAATCAGAGCGGCGCGACTCTGTGACGTCATATGAGGAATAGCTTTGAGGGCCGATGCAGAATTCATCTACATTTTAGGGGGTAAATTATCTTGTTTACAGGCTTGTATAAACCTGAAATCGTGACAATTGTTGTGGAAAATGAAAGCTATATGTTCTCACAATCTACTGTCATTTAATTTTGTCTCCTGCTTTGCCTAGTTTCCGAGTTACAACTTGTTTTCATAGACGCTTCTGTCACAATTGATTGGTGTCGTTAGGCCCTATTTGTATAATGACTGATCCAAATTGATCCCATTTCTGTGTTTTTTTACCTCGATATTTAATCATGTCATGTAAAAATCTGTTTGTATTCTCAAAACAGTGTCGGCCCATAAGTTTTCACATGCAATACAGTAATTAATACTCCCTTGTTATAACCCGTGTTAGGTGGTATAAACCTACACATGTTATTTGTCATCATTCACTTGATGGTCAGTTAATGAATTTATAACAGGTATAATTAGTGGTAACACACTTAGAATACCCGACAAAGGTTCCCATTTGGCATTTCTTGTGTCTGGAGTAAATATTCAACATTATAAACATCGATCAAAGGATTAACTGATAACACGCTGATTGATTAATTACTTTTATCTTACACAGCGGAATTGTCAAAAGGTAGTGTTTATGTATGTAGATTTACTAATCTATACTGAATACACTCTGCCGTGTCGGTGTCTGCGTAAAAACAACGTCCTTCTTTCAAAGGATTAACTGGCAATACATTGATTGATTGCCCATTATTGGCTAACTAAATTACTGTTTTTAATGAAAGGCGGACATTATGCAATTAGTTGCCAGGTGTGCTATCTTGGGTGACCAATGAGACTACACACCAATCACCTGATCAAGACAATATCACTTTTTCGTATATTAAACTGTTTAAAGGCACATCATTTGGAACAGTTTTGTGGATATTGATGGATACATTCCTCAAACAAGGTAATGGCCTGATATTGTTCCTATAACTTTAATCTGTTTTAATTTTAATATTTGCATTTTTTTTATATATTCATTTGTCGTAGCATTCAACAGAATCATTGTTTTCGCCGTGAAGTGTAATGAGACAGACAACATACACTAGGGTGTGTGTGCGAATTATGATTCACATTGGCAAACTATAAAATGTCTAGATATTACAGTTCTGTTATAAATTCATTATAAGTATCAGCAGATCGTCAGCTTTTTATTTAGTTTCAAAATGCATAAAAGTATGATAATAAACTAATTAGGATTATAAGACCAAATATAAAGACGCACATTGACTAGTATCTACATACTGGTGAGTGGACATTAACCATGTGAATGTAGCAAGAAATTTATCGCGCAGTATTGTGACTTCGACCCCCACCTCGCTTCCGTGGAAGAAATCGTTATGTTATAAGTTGTGTCATGCAAAATCCTTTTGGTTATGATTCCAATACATATTTAACTACGAGTAGAAAGTAGTTTTGATTTTCTAACTTGATGAAAACAAACTATAATCTCATTAATTCTAACAGACTTTACGATTTTCAAAAAATGGCGGCGCCCTGTCGGGAACATCCGCCAGTCTGAGGATAAATGCTATTTAGGTTTGTTTTCACTGAGTTACAAAATCAAAACTACTTTCTACTGGTAGTAAAATATGTATTTTATTGATGGCCAATAGGATTTTGCATGACATAGCGTATAACATAACAATTTCTCTCCTGGCAGCGAGGTGGGTGTCAATATAATACTACTTACAATATTATTGTTACTTCGACCACAACCTCACTTCCGAGGAAGAAATCGTTATGTTACAAGTTGTGTTATGGAAAATCTTTATGGTCATCAATAATATACATATTTTACTATAACTAGTAAGTAGTTTTGATTCTTTAACTTCCGTGAAGCGATCTGAACACAAGTAAGATATCGTTTCAGGCTTCCACAACGCTCGCTTCGCACTCACAAACATAACCCATTTAGCACGAACTGCGGGGTCCTGTGGAAATCTGTGCATGGTGACACCATCACCCGACCCCTAGGAGCAATTGACGACAAAGCAACGATCCGGCATGTCGTCGTTCATGTCGAGAAATCATCAAAATGATGAGCGTGCTACACACTTTCTATACAACTAACTGAAAATCGTTCCTCATATGACGTCACTGCAGTGCTCTGGCGACAGAGTTACGTAACCTGTCTGTGGTTTCGTTGGCGGGCGAGAGGGAAGCAGGCGACTTTTTGGCCACCACAAATCTTTCATATGTAATGGTTAAAAGAGTAACAAAAAACAAAGTTTAGTGGTTCTGTAAAGGTCAGACTGTAATCATGAGTACATGGCATAGCTGTCGATAGTTTTCAATGTGATGTTGAATGTATGCTGACAAGTGGTCAGCTTCCCGTTATGTAGGGAGAGAAGTGTTTGACCGGTTTTAAATAAGCAGGAAATAGTAAGCAGTTTAGGACTGATGGTCACAGAATATCTCAAGTAGGGTGTCAAGTGGTTGTACAGTGATGAAATGATTAAGCATTTGTCATATATATTACTGAATAAGAAAACAAACCTACATTTGTTCTCCTGTAAAACTTTCCAGTGCTTTTACTCAAAATCTTAAAGCTGAACTTTGCTCTTAAACTGCAAACATAAAAAAAACCATCCATGAATGCTATATATGACACTTGATATAAATAAAACCTTGTATTGTATTTTCGTCTTGGGTTTTGTTAATATAGCATGATGCATGTTAGTCATGTTCAGTCGTATTTGAGATGGCACCTTGGGAAGAGTACTTGAATAGGATTTATTATGACCCAAAAACACGCTGGTAGTTATTCTGGACCCAAGAAGTTGTATGAAGCTGTGAAAGCAGAGGGTCAGTTTAAAATTGGTCTACATCGTATCAAGAAATGGCTCAAAGGTCAGGAGAACTATACTATGACTCATCAAGTTTGGAGAACATTTCCAAGAAGACACTATGTGGTGGAAGGTTTAGACATCACTTTCAAAGTACAACGATGGTGTGAAGTATTTATTAGTCATCATAGATCTATTTTCACGATATCTATGGGTGTATCCACTCAAATCTACAAAGGGACAAGAAGTGGTGAAAGCATTGACCCATTTATGGAAGACACAAGATCGTAGGCCTGGTATTTTTCAATCCGACATGGGTTCAGAATTTAAGAATTGGTGGGTAAAAGCCTCTTTGAAAAAGCACAAGGCAACCAAAATGTTTACACTGAATGAAACCAAGGCCCCCTATACTGAGAGAGTGACTAAAACCATTAAAATGAGACTGTATCGATACATGTTGAAACACTTTACCTACAGATATATGGATATCTTACCAGATGTAGTCAAGAGTTACAATCACACTAAACATCGTTCCTTAGGACAGTCTCCTGCTAGTGTAACTCATAAAAATGAAGTGAGACTCTCTCAGTATTTGATTAAACCCCCAAAAGTGAAACAGAGTAAAAAGAAGTTAACTTTCAAAGTGGGGGATAAAGTCAGAGTGAGTCATCTGAAGAGAACTTTTGACAGAGAATATCAAGAGAAATGGTCTGGTGAATTTTTTACAGTAATGAGAAGATATTGGTCTCAAGGCAATGACATGTACAAATTGAAAGATTGGGGTGGTGATCCTATTGAAGGTGCCTTTTATTCATCAGAACTACAAGCAGTGGTAGAAAATCCAGATCAGGAGTATAGAATTCAAGACATTGTAAAAAAGAGGACCAGAAATAAATGAAAAGAAGTGTTAGTGAAATGGTTCCATTGGTCTACAAAATACAATTCATGGATCCCAGAAGGTAATGTGAAACAGTATAAAAGCACAACGTAACCTGTTTTTAAAGTCATTTATGATGGAAGACACTGAAGCAGCAGTATCTCTTATGCGGAGTACATCATCTGACACCTGGACATTTTTGGGAAAAACATTATTATTTACATTGTAGTCATTACGTGTATTGTCAATTTGTCCTTGGACAAAGGAAGGTCCAATTTGTGGACCGCACTACTCAGCAGTAGTTTGGGATACTTGTTACCTAACCCCAAGATTAAATCTAAACATGGATAAATACATTACGGTCAGAAGTACAGATAGTGAACACCTCTATCCCAGCAACAAACCTTTTAATGTCAAGGTGGGTTTGAATGAACCATTACATCTTGACCAAAGGTGGAGGAATGGACTAACGGAAATATCTATATTGTCCTGGGACATAGATAAAAAAAATCGGAACGTCTTGACATATATGTCTATTCCTCATTGTGCGATTCATCATATGTTGGAGAAACTAAACAACCTTTACTCAGACATTTATGTCTCGCGGGAAACCAAAAAGAACGTTCTTTTTCATTTTCTCAGTGTCAGTATGTTAGAGATTTTCAGACTGTGGATATCTATATAAAAGACCATGAGGGCAATCCAGCTTCATTTATCCGTGGACCAGTGACAGTGACACTTCATCTCAAGCCGCTCCCGTTTTGGTTTTCATCATGAATAATCCACAATACAAACTCTTCGTACCCGATGCAGATAAATGGACACGGTTTTACATGCTAAGGGTTGAAGAGAAAGGAGATCCGTATCATTCTATAATGCGTGGAGGAGAAAAATCTGCCATGATGTCTGTGGATCGATATTTGGAACTGTATGACCCAGAGTGGAAGAAAGGCAAACAAAAACTAGAAACCACAGAGCAACCTAAGATTAATTTTGTTACCCCTACTCAACAAGTGGTCGAACAGGCCATGGCTCTTATTCAGATGCAGAAGAATGGGGGATCTAAAGCTAGAAAAAAACGTTCCTCCCAGAGTCCCATGAAGAAACGGAAGACGACTTTTTAGATAAAAGCAGCCAGTAGATAGGTTTCCTGCCACTTAGACTCGGACCACCATGCAGTCAAGAACGTGTCCCGTGTGCAATTTCATTATTCCAGAAGGGATGCCATGCTTAGACATCTCAGGAATCAACACAGATGAGCAATGCGGCCGCCACCACCACCACCACAAGCACCAGCGCCACCACAAGCACCTCCTCCTCCTCCTCCACCACAAGCACCTCCAACTTTAAAATTTTGAGTAAAAGCATTGGAATGTTTTACAGAAGGAACAAATGTAGGTTTGTTTTTTTATTCAGTAATATATATGACAAATGCTTAATCATTTCATCACTGTACAACCACTTGACACCCTACTTGAGATATTCTGTGACAATCAGTCCTAAACTGCTTACTATTTCCTGTATTTAATTCCGGTCAGACACTTCTCTCCCTACATAACGGAAGCTGACCACTTGTCAGCATACATTCAACATCACATTGAAAACTATCGACAGCCATGCCATGTACTCATGATTACAGTCTGACCTTTAAACAACTGAAGCTGACCATTTGTGACACTACATTCACCACCACGCTGAAAATTATCAACGACCATTCCATGTACACATGATTACAGTCTGGCCTTTAAATTACAATAAAATCAACTTCTGGTCAACTTGAACAGGCTAACTTTGCGAGCACAGGAAGTCACACACAGGAATCTAAACACATCAACCCTCCAAGGTCCGCACCAACTGTCACCTGCTTGAACATATCTGTTCTCGCATAAGCATAAGTCATGGTGATACAAATGACAGCATTAAATACTTAAAATGGTGGTCAGTTTTAATGACTGGATGGAGGTGCTTTTAATAAACATAACAGCTTATACTATTTCACCCAATCACAGCTGTCACATGTCTCTTCAGTTACGGCCCCACTCAGCGAGCAAGCGATTCTGCTCTTAGTAGTAGTAGTGCATAGACTGCACCCTCCATTCACGCACGCAATAATCATATACGGGCCCACCAGGCGCATGAATTTTATTTGCTAACAGCTACAATCGTTTATTGTTCACAGATATGTAAAATAAATACTCAGAACTTCGGAGTTGTTCCTTGTGTACCAAATCACCAATGACAGCGTATTTTAAACTGGCTAGTGATACCTTTGATTTAACAAAATGCGCTCTGATATTTTCACAGCTTTTGACCTAATAAATAGCAACTAATTTCCCCTCATATGCATTGTGAAATATTAATTCTACGTTGAAAAGAGATTTTGTTGTGTGAACACTCGAGTCGGCAAACTCATAAAATAATTGAATAATAATCACAGACAATCAGGTCAACCTGAAGGTCACACACACCTGGGTTGGAAGGAGACTCCCAAAGGGGGCTTAAGGGTTCAACAGTCGATTAGGTCACACAAAGGTCACACATATGTGACGTCATAAAAAAAAATGGCCGACCAAAATGCCCTCACACACACACCCTTACAACAAGTATTATTTTTACAATATTCCCTCACAACCACACTGACATACTATAACAAATACTATACTTGAAAGGAAATATTTAGGAAAACATTATCGAAATCATGTAATAAAAATTCCAGTGGGATTGCTATAATATTTTGAAAAAAATTCCTGCATGGTATTTGATATGAATACCATTGTTTTGTTCCGTGTTTTTGCAACATTTTTCAGTTCCTGGTTAAATTTTAGCTTTCGCATTAATATTCAGATTGGAATAAAAAACAATTAGACTCCTTTAAGTAATGAACACAAAGATTATATGATTTGCTTTCATCAAAAAAGTTTCATGGAATCCCATAAGCTATTTGACTATACGTAACATATACTTACTATTCTTCTCTGAATGCAAAATGTTAAAGCGATGAACAACCAGAGAGATGTGAAAAACACTGGAAACATCATTATTGGCCATATCGCTCTTTCGAATGTGATTACCATCACCCCCAGGATTAAAGTAGCGATTCCCGCTAGAAGGAGGATCGTGAAGGTTGGCACACAACATGCTCCGTTGTCACAGAGGACTGCACACCAGCACCTTGCAGATCGAATGATGTCCATCGATTGCTGAAACTCATCTGGTGGCACCTGCACAGGCAGCCCAAGAAGGAACAAGTAAATGCCCAGATGAATAAAGTGGCTCTACACGTAGAATATATCCCCCAAACGTGCATATTTTGAAAAGTGCTTTGATTACGCCTTACAAGGGATAAACAATGTGAATGTGTTGCCCGAACACTACAGATATCCTTCACTGTGTTATCCATGGGATATAAGAAAACCTATGAGTCCTGATCAGCAATATAAACACCCATCCACAATAAGAAAAACACATCTGAACACCTGGTCTCAGTAGATACCTGACTCTCATCAACATACACACACCAGGATACTGGGTGTCAGCAACATACACACACCTGGATACTGGGTGTCAGCAACATACACACACCATGATACTGGGTGTCACCAACAAACAAACACCTGGATACTGGGTGTCAGCAACATACACACCTGGATACTGGGTGTCAGCAACATATACACAACTGGATATTGGGTGTCAGCAACATACACACAACTGGATACTGGGTGTCAGCAACAAACAAACACCTGGATACTGGGTGTCAGCAACATACACACAACTGGATACTGGGTGTCAGCAACACAAACACCTGGATACTGGGTGTCAGGGTGTCAGCAACTGGATACACACACCTGGATACTGGGTGTCAGCAACAGACACACACCTGGATACTGGGTGTCAGCACCTGGATACTGGGTGTCACACACACCTGGATACTGGGTGTCAGCAACATACACACACCTGGATACTGGGTGTCAGCAACATACACACAACTGGATACTGGGTGTCAGCAACATACACACACCTGATACTGGGTGTCAGCAACAAACACACACCTGGATACTGGGTGTCAGCAACATACACACACCTGGATACTGGGTGTCAGCAACAGATACACACACCTGGATACTGGGTGTCAGCAACATGCACACAACTGGATACTGGGTGTCAGCAACATACACACACCATGATACTTGGTGTCAGCAACAAACACACACCTGGATACTGGGTGTCAGCAACATGCACACACCTGGATACTGGGTATCAGCAACATACACACACCTGGATACTGGGTGTCAGCAACATACACACACCTGGATACTGGGTGTCAGCAACATACACACACCTGGATACTGGGTGTCAGCAACAAACACATACCTGATACCGGTCGTCAGCAACATACACACACCTGGATACCTGGTATCAGCAACAAACACACACCTGGATACTGGGTGTCAGGAACAAACACACACCTGCATATCTGGTATCAGCAACAAACACACCTGGATACCTGGTATCAGCAACAAACACACACCTGGATACTGGGTCTTAGCAACAAACACACACCTGTATACCTGGTATCAACAACAACCCCTAGATACTGGGTGTCAGCAACATACACACACCTAGATACTGGGTGTCAGGAGCACACACACACCTGGATTCTGGGTGTAAGCAACAAACACACACCTGGATACCGGGCCTCAGCAACAAAAACACCTCTGTATAACGGGTCTCAGCAACAAACACACACCTGTATAACCGGTCTCAGCAACAAACGCACACCTGTATAACCGGTCTCAGCAACAAACGCACACCTGTATAACCGGCATCAGCAACAAACACCCAGCTGATACTGCATCTCAGGAACAAAAACACAACTGGATACAGGGTCTCAGCAACATACACACCTGATACAGAGTCTCAACAACAAGCAGACACCTGAATACCTGGTATTAACAACAACACCTAGATACTGGGTGTCAGCAACATACACACACCTAAATACTGGGTGTCAGGAGCACACACACACCTGGATACTGGGTGTAAGCAACAAACACACACCTGGATACCGGGCCTCAGCAACAAAAACACCTCTGTATAACGGGTCTCAGCAACAAACACACACCTGTATAACCGGTCTCAGCAACAAACACACACCTGTATAACCGGTCCCAGCAACAAACACATGCACTAGACGCCAAAGGAAACGTTATCCACCTACCTTTATGAATTACTGAAAAGTACCAAAGATTTTTAGAAGGTTTTAGTTTACAATAAAGCTTAATAACACAGCTTTATGCAAATCACGAAAATAAATTCTCAAATGCATTCGTATTTGGGTGAAATGCATCTTTTTCAGAAGAGTTTAATTGTCCTATATTCGTCCATGCCGAATTAAACCAATAATAGTGATGTTGATGTCCAAAAGAAAGGTTGAAATTAAATTCTGCTTTGGGACAATGATAAACCATTTAAAGTCACCATTTTTCAACTATTAAAACAAGAAACAACTGTTGTAGAGTTTGTAAATTTGTAAAATAATCATTGCTATGATTTTTGTCTTTTAAAACATTTTCTGCTGATTTGCATTAGTGAAAACAAGTAAAACCTGTCTTTGATATTGTGAAAACATGTTTAGGAACATCTACAATTATCTTTGTTAACATTTTTGCTTGCAAACTAACATTTTTCTATTTCCATTTTACACATGGCAATATCAATCGCCCAAACGCAGCAATATTCAAACAGTATTTACATCCATTTCACATGCAGAATGATTGTATAGGGTATAAAGAGAGCCTAGAAGACATGATCTGATACACAAGTACGAGAAATATGCCACTATTAACAGCTGAAGGGAGAGAAAGAGTCAATGGGATGGTGCAGATGGGGTCGACATACAATGCTGTTGCCAACGCCCTCGGATGCCACCGTATCACGGTTAAAAGACGTATTCGGGGCTTCAGACAGACTGGGATCACCGTAGACAGACCAAGAAGTGGACGTCCACGCATCACAACGCCAGCTGAAGATAGGTACCTCCGTCATTAAGGAAGGAGGGTAACGTTTCTTTTGGCGTTTAGTATACCTGTATATCTCGTATCAGCAACAAACACACACCTGGATATATGGTATCAGCAACAAATACAGACCTGATACTGGGTCTCAGCAACATAAACAATCCTGGATATTGGGCCTGAGCAACATACACAACTGTATAACTGGTATCAGAAAGATACCAACACTTGGACACCCCGTATCAGTAACAAAAACATACCTGAACACCCTGTCTCAGTAACGGCTCGGGTATATAAGGGGTCCTCAACTGTTCTCCCAAGGGACACTTGAAGTTGGAAGATAGCTCAACCAACGCATCCATATTTCCTAAAGACAAACAGTAGTGAAGTGATCTTCTCTATCAAATAGCACCACTATCACCTCAGCTACTTTCAACGTATATTGACAACTGGACAACACGTACATAAATTCATGTACAGTTTTCCCAGAAGTTATTGAGAAAATCTTTGTAAATACTGATAACGGAATTTTAAAAAAAGGTGTTACATTATGCTATAAGGTACTCAATATGGGAGGTAACTCTTGAAGGCTTGATGATGAACCTTACTAAATCAACAGTTATCTCCCCTGGTGTGGCAGACGGCTTCCTTTGTTGACATGTAAGGTCTGACAGCAGAAGTGGCAAGAAAACTCGTTCTAGTTGGTTTTGAAAGGGATAAGACAATGCAAAAGAGTTAGCTGGTAGACATGACATTCCTCGGTCTACAATATACAGAACTTTGAAGAATATTCAGTCAGGAGTTGGGATTGAGCACAAGACAGGGGCTGGAAGGCCAATAAGTTTAGTAAGTACTGTGAAATATCGTAATAAGGTACAAAATATGTTTAGTTAAACATTGGTGTAAGGGAGATAACTCCGTTTTCTTTAGCGGTATGCAAGGAGAGCATAAAGGGGAATAACTCTCGAGAGTTTTGTGAAGGACGCTTAATGGTTTCTGAAATAAAAGGCTCTCAACTGCACATAACTGCACTGCACGGATCGCCTGCAAGATTTACCTACAAAATAATAAGGTCGTCAATGGCGAACAGGCACGACACGATTTAGTTTGCGATGAATAAATGAACGTAAACTCATTATGACAGTGAGGTGTAAGTGTCTCCGAAAGAATGTCGACTAGCGCGCTGACAGGTGCCATCAGTTCGACATGTTTTGGTGCATGTCGTTTGTGTAAACTGTGAAATAAACAAGAAAATTGGTGAGTTACCACTACAAATTCTGAGCAGGGATTTTGGCTCGGAATCGAGAAATCACGATTTCCGAGCTTCCGAAGACCCTAGCTCCCAAAGTACGGCTTCGACTTTTGTGCTGTATGTCTTATTTTGTAGGTAAATCTATTGGCTTGAAAATGTGTGCATACTTTAACTGGGATAAATACAGTGAGCATTGTTGAATTCGCCCTGAAACGAACTTGGTGTGTTGACCTCGTTACATCCCTTTCCTTTTATATAGTACTATGACCCCGATAGTGACAGTACACACCTTGACGGCAGTTTTAGCGTTACAAGCCCCTGTGGGAATTCCCTCACAATCGATGAAAGAAAAGATGTTTAAACTGGTTTAGTGCTCACGAAAATCAAGATTGGAATCATGTTTTCTTTTTTGATGAAAGTTCTGTCTGGCTTTTTCCGAACTGTGTAAAAATTTGGACAAAAGATACCGTGAAACCGATCTACTAACACCCAAAACATATCCCGAAATTTAACCAGTGGGGTAGGATATCACGTGGAGTGACGCCGTTGTGTATTTTCATTGGAAATTTGACGAAGGAACGATATGTTGACATCTTAAGTGATCACCTCCTTCCAACGGTAGGAACACTGTATGAAGGTAATTGGATTTTCCATTTTGATAATTCGGGCAACAACAGTGGTTGTCGCACGTAAATGATGTTTAAATTTTAAACTGGCCCAGCTACAAGCACAGATCTTAACCCTATTGAGAATGTGCGGGGACTAATGAAGGGCAGAATAAACCAAAGAGGACTTAGACATGTTGAGGATATGAACAGAGAAGTGGTCGAATATCGGGATACGCTGTCACGCAATTTCCTGCAAACTTTCATGGGTATGTCATGTATTGCATGGAAAGGAGGTCTCACAAACTACTGAAAAGACACTTAGACTGTAAGAGAATCATATCTCAAAATATTCCTTGAAGTAAAACGACTATAGTTTACATACATATATTAGATATTTGCCAAAACAACTTTATCGATATTTCCTGGGAATACTATGTTTCTTTCAGGTTCGTTGATTTTTAATGTACGATGAAAATGTATCAACAATATCATTATCAGTAACTGGTACACATTTATACCGTCGGATGTATCACCATTAGGACAGTACATTATGCCTTACCGTTATAAAGCTGCCTTACCGTGACGAGGCTCGATTCTCAATTCTTTTGTACCCGTCAGGTTACCGCGTAGGTCCTCTAAAATGGTATATGGTTCGGTTTCAGTAAATTTAAGTAATTTCGCGACATATTCCTTAAAAAGTATACAGATTGAGATGATATGAGAAATAAGATTTTATCCATTTCTTTTAGGCAAAAATGTCCAATTACTATTTAATTGAACAAATATAGTGATTGTTGTATTGGGAAGATAATGTATGGAATGTAATTATTTAGATCAGTATCAACTAAGGTATTTAGAGTTTCAGGATCAGGAAACACACCTTTAGAAACTATGGCCCCAATGAACCGCTGCCACCAGTCATAACCAGGAGTTGCGTCAATGTAGGTGAGGGTCTTGATACTGTCAGGTACAAAGCAACGCTTCACCATCACAGGCACCACCAGCAGCTGGCTCTCCTCCATGCTCAGGATCATCCCCATCTCAATCTCAAACATGCACCAGTGACTCTGAATGAAGTCTGGAGACAGCACCAACACCGTCTTCTCCGACAGTCGGATGTGTTCGGTGATGTTTTCAATGATACGCTTACCTCCGTGAAAGTCTCTCTCGTGCATGCTGCATCTGAAGCCCATCTCTGGCGACTCCAGACGTCTGGTGACCTCCTCCACCCACTCTCTGTCGGAGATTTCATAGGAGAAGAAGACGTGGTACCTCTTTCCTTCTGAGAGCGGAGGGGCAACACTTGTCCAGTGTGGTGGATGTTCAGATTCGTCCGCGTTTATTATCTCACCAGATAAAGGCTGGGTTGTCACGTCTCCTGTGCCTGTGAGTGAGTGAGTGAGTGAGTGAGTGAGTGAGTGAGTGAGTGAGCGAGTGTGTGGGCAATCGAACCCTCACTCTTTACGCTTTAACACTGTGATACCCCACCGCCTGTTGTGCCGGTGAGGTCATTATTGGGTCATCTTGAAAGATCACTAAGGTTGGTTTAACACTGAACCGAACAGCTTTATAACGGTCTGCTTCATATGGTGAACGTCTGACAAACCAATCTGGGATTTGAACCAATGATCAAATGTTTCTGTCAGCAGCCCGGCATATCTTTTACCCATCAAAAAGAAAAATTCAAAATATATGTGTAATAAAGTTCATTGAAGATGTGTTCAATGTATTCAACATATAAGTACGTCAGTTGCATGTGCCAGAACTGCTGTCTTTACTGTCTCATTGGGACAGTGGCATGCAGGCCTTGGTTATTTTCGAATTTTGAAGATATGTTTTCGTTCTTTTTTAGACTGACTGACTGACTGAGTTTAGTTTTACGCCGCTTTTAGCAATATTCCAGTAACATCACGGCGGGGGACACCAGAAATGGGCTTCACACATTGTGCCCATGTGGGGAGTCGAACCCGGGGCTTCGGCGTGACGAGCCAACCCTTTAACCACTAGGCTACCCCACCGCCCCTCTTTTTTAGAAGCATTTAATTTCCCTTGTGTTTATTTCATGATACCCCTCTTTCATTGAACACCTGGTACCATCGACATTTGATACTGATTCAATAACACATGATAGTCGACTCTGTCTTTGGTGGAGATTTCCTACTTTTATGGAAATCAATCTTGTATTTATTCCCCGAAGCGCATTATATGCCTTCATAAACGAAGAAATATGCATGTAAGAAACTACGGTTACCACTACCCATATCCCAGGAAACATAGGATGTCTAACGTCTTACCTGCTCTAAAAGATGGAACAGGTCTAGAGTGCATGTTTTCGATACTGGCAGAGGTGTAGTGGCCATCGTGACGAGTGGAAGTAGATACGCTGTCAAGGTCACTGAGATCCTGATTACTGTATGTTGATGCTGAACGAATGGGGTTACGTCTTGGGATGTCCAAAGGAACTGGATCAGCAGTCGTCGCATCAGGAGAAAAAACGACTTTTCTCACAGTTGGTTCGTGTTCTTCTTCGTGTTCTTTCAATCTGTCGATCTGGACATTCGTGCTGAGAGACGTGTCGTCCCTGAAGTCGATGCCCGTCGTTGTAATGTCGTCACCGGGGCTTCTAACATCAACACCACATCCAGCTAATTCATCCAGAGATGGACCCCGAAGAGGCTGTGGAAGGTGATACGGGGATTCTTGGATGGATCCATCCTCTGGTTCTGATAGCAGAGGAGTAGTGTCCATCGTGTACGAAGGAGAACCAGTCTTATTTACTGTTGGCCAGAATCGTTTAATTTCTGAAAAGTAAACAATTTAGTCTTATTCTGTAACCATCTAATGTCTTCATTATTTACTTTTGTGAATGTATTGACTGTTTCATACCTCATTTTTATCATTAAATAATCGAATTTCATGCAATATTTTGACTTAACAAGGTTAGGAGGATTTTTGATTGAATGACCTCCCTTCTGGTTTACGAAATACACACACAAAAAACGATCCCGTGGTACCAAAAGAGCTGTTTGTACTTTCGTTCTAATAACATTGACCTTCATTCTCGGCCAATACCCTACAGAAAACTTCAAACAGCAAGCATGGCAATTATCATAAAGTCAACATGGCAACATCGTCTTTCAAATCAATTTCTTTCAAGCAACATATTCCTCATACCCGTGGTTAGAAATGACTATTCAGAATTTAGGATATTGCCCGCGATGTCATAAATATAAGTCGCTTCAAAATATAGGGTCCCGCTGATAAATTTCCTCATTTCAGGTATATATAGCAACCTCCTTCACAAATAATTTTCTACAAATAATTGGCAATGTTTCAAAATTGAGCATCGATACATTGATATAAAGTTTCCTCATGGAACGGATGACAGCTTGATTAAACATTAAAGGCAAATGTGTTTAATTAAAAGTGGCAACAGTTCTTTCATATGATAGTATTTTTTCAGTTTTCGCATATTTATAGCATCTGTGGTCCCTCTGGAACAATTAAAGGTAATTTTACCCGAAGTATGGTTTTCCAGATTTAACATATATCATTTGAAAATCATATACAAGGAAACAAAAGTCGGCACTTTCCATCTAGATCAGCAAAATGCCTGTTCAACAGTAACAGCTCCGTGCTTTACAAAGTATCAACAATACCAAATATATCTAAGATACTGTTGAACTATCATTAAAATCACACAATATAACAAAAAGCTCTTAAAGGTATAATTCTGAAGAAATAACACAAAAACAAAAACAAATCATATGTTGAGTATGAAAAAAAAAAGAATAATAAATTTTCCATGTCATTAAAAATACTTCATGCTCATCAAAGAAAGGTGAGTCAGTCCTGTCACCATAATGCAATCATCATTTCTACATATAATTTATTATCTCTTTTTCTTACTTGTCAAAGTGCATTCCCAGCTGACGTGTCAGTGAATGTCACTAAGTTCAAAATCACGGGAACATGTTGCAGGTCTACACCCACATGCAGAAGTACACCACAGGTTCAGCCTCTTACAGCTACACCTTCCTGTTCATTGACTTTTACATGCACAGATATGAAGCTGAAGAAGGCCCTCAGGTGCTGGAGGTCCATCGGTAAAGACAGGTTTGCATAAATTGTCCCACCCATATACATATGGCATGGTGACAAATTTACACTATTCTTCTGATTCTTTAAGAACTGTAGGTATTGAAAAGTATTAAACAGACCTCATCAGAAACTTCAAATCTCAAATATTTATGAATATATTTTTTAAAATCTTTAATCCTCGCAAAGACACGAGCATGTGACGAGGGCCTGTGGCTATGGGCGATCTGTTCCTGGGTGTCTTTCGACACTGAGCGTAGCACAGCAGACCCCGGGAACCAGGCTGGACCCAGATTTGACAAGAACCACTCGTACAGAGTCATGGAGAGACTACCAACCAAATCGTCCATAACAAACGCTTAATACCTAAAAATAGATCTTGGGCCTCCCCAAAGTGAAGAGTGCTGTAGAGTGAACAAACAACCGACACAAAGATATTTGAATATTTATTTATGTGTACGATATCAGGCATATGTATGGTATTTACCATCCGGACTAGAATCGTCTGAGAGAATGCCCTGATGCCTGCAGTGTACAGGCAGATACTCTGCTCTCAGTAAATCTCCACAAGAGCAGCGCCACAGTCGGCTAGCCATTCCGACGCTAAGAGCACACTCACGTATTACACATACTATGCAAACGGAATAATAGTTCAATAACAGACTAGGTTTACTAAAGACGTCCTTCCTTTTAAAAATCATGAAAAGTCAAAGGTTATTCCAGAATGTGTGATAAATAAATTATTAATTCCTTTCTTTACCATAAACAACATCATGCTAATTAAGGTCCATCTTGTTATGAAACCAATCTATTTAAAATCAGATCATATTCATTCGCAAAGTGAAAAGTATGACATGTAATGGTAATTGTATTTCGATATCGAATTAAATATATATACTCTACTGTGATCTTTTAATTGTTGAGATTTACGCTGAATTAACCTGCAAAGTTAAAATGAAATAGAAAGTACAAATAACTACCTCTTACATCTAATGGAGGCTTCGGATATTGTGTCAACTGACATTCAGGAGTAAGTGGACCAATAAGAAGCGAAATAGACACATGACATAGCAATCTAGTAGTTTATGAACACAGTCTAAACATTAACTTGACGAAAAGAGAATCCCTACCTTCTTTTCACGAGTTATTCGTGGCTGCCATTTTGATCGAAACGAAGCAGCCGGGATACCGAACCCAGTCAGACCGGGTGGGTGTGCACTCAAGTGTAACGGCTGGTTCATTTGCAGATGCCCTCACGGCTTATTGTGTGTGTATATATAGAGATGTTGGGTTTTGTAAATACATGCTCATTTTTTGTGTATAACATTTTACAATCAACAGACAACATAACATGTCATGTGTTCAAGTATCACACCTGCCTGTCTGTGTAATTACATAATGTGACAGAGACCGAACTCGGGCCATAAATCAATGCATTTTGTTTATGGTGTATAGCCTGATTGGTGTTAAGTTCAAATTGCATGTGGTCAGTGATAGCAGCTGTGTATTGAATATTGCCATTAGCAGACAGGCAGGGAGACACACAGGTGTCAATAAAACAAGACATTGAGTTTTGTCTGTGACAACGACATATCTATATCACAGTTAGAAATTCTGTCAACGCTAAATAATGACATTGCTTTCAAGTATCGAACTGAGAAAGTGACTCGGTAAGAAGAACGTGTGGTGATATTATAGAATGAAATTAAGTCTCAGATTCAACCAACAGATTTGAGAGTGAAGAGAAAGTATAGTTATCTTCCAGTATACTGGCTTGTAAAAATGCAATGCTTATCGGATCACAAAAACCCAATGTGGTAGTTTCCGGAGTATGCGGTCTGTAAATAATCGAGTCTGGACCAGACAATCGAGTGATCAACAGCATGAGCATCGATCTACGTATGCTTTTGGGATACGATGACATGTGTCAACCAAGTCAGCGAGCCTGACTACCCGATCCCCTTAGTCTCCTGTTACGACAAGCATGGGTTGCTGAAGACCAATTCTAACCCGGATATTGCAATGTTGCAGTGAGGTGAATGTGGAGTCACCCAAGTGTCTTCTGATATTAATTATCTATATCAACACGAATAGATTAAAGTTACAAACATCCGAGGCTTGCTGATGTTTTCACTTTATTCAACGAGTGTTGATATAATTGATATCAGGAGACACAAGTGAATGAATTTTATGTATCATCGAAAGTCATTCTTCATCAGTTATCAGTAAAAGAATGAATTTAACTGAATACAAAACTGCCATTAGGCCTCTTGAGCAGTGATCTCAGCAAGGCTATAGAATTGTGACGTCATCAGCTTCATGACATCATAGCATTGTGATGTCATCAACTTTGCGACGTCGTAGCATTGTCAGCTGTGTTCTTAGTGATGTCAAAGCTTTGTGAGCATTAACTGATGATGTAATAGCATGTTGACAGTTCAATTGTTGCGATATCTACAACATTGATACTACTTGTAGATAGCGCTTGTTATTACCCATAGGGGCTAGGATACACAGGTGATTATTTTTTTGATAATCGCATATGTGGTTTTCAGTGATTCTCAACGTTTATTGGCAGCTAAGCAGAGAAGAAATATGATTGTTGACGGAACTACTTTTCGTGATCAAAGTTCATTGACAACTTTTACCGTTTCATTGATAATTAGAACGTGCTGTACTCACACATTCCGAGATTAATAAAAGAAAACATAAAGGTTAAAGAATATGAATACTCTTTTTATTAGACATTATTATTTCGAAATAAAATTGCGTTATAAATAGTAGTCTTTCTAAAATAAATAACCTTTAAAAAACCCAACAACAATCGTTTGCGTTATTTGTAAACAAACGTGGCCGCCATTAGGCTAACCCCGATCAAGGCCCGGAAACGACCAGACCCTCTCTGACAATGGTGTACCAGTACATCAAATCACGCAAATTTCCGGGCACAAAAATTTTCAATGAATAAACAGTTACTCTTCAATTAATGAGAAACAACATCAGTCCATCAATAAATTGTTGTCAAACCCTTGTATAGTCTGTTTGCAGTGAAAAGGTACCGATGAATTTCACTTTAAACGAAAAAGTGAATCAAATAAAGCGATATTAAGATTGCGAATCCTCATAATTTTACCTTGCCAATCGAACATTTAAATCTCAGAATTATATTCAACTTTGGATAAAAGTTGTTTAACAAACGATCATAGTTTCAAATCGCTATTATTGGTTTGTATTACAAGGGGGTAGGTGGATGGAACAGTGAAACAAATGCACGAGCAGTACGTGAGGAGCGTTAACTTAGACCAACCCGACTTGTTCTCGGTGTTTCATTTAATGTGCAAATAACGGTTTAGCTGTTATTAAGTTCAATGATATATTTAAAAGATCATTTTTATTATATTAACAAATGTTAATTTATTATTCCAGACAAAATATTTTTGTTGTATTTTAAAGCAATTTTACTACGTGCTATTTTCCATAGTGTAGTTATGTTATTACCGCTGGAGAAGTTAGGTTTAATACGCGCATGAATACGAATCAGCTGTTAGGAGGTCACAAGTCCTGTCTCCGGGTGGTTTTTATTCCGTGGTTCTTCTTTTAAATTACATTATGGGTAATAAATAGAATAACCAACTCGGTACGAGTGATTAAACGAGAAATATGCCCTCGTAAAATAATGTTCAGTGCCTGGCCAAGGCTCGGCACTGTGAACATTATTTCATCTCGGACATATTTCCCGTAATCACTCGTACCGAGTTGGTTATTCTCTAAATCTCACACAAGCGATATCTACTGTGGGAGACAGTTTTGGATGATAAATTACCATCAACGTCAGTTTGCTTTAAATCTCTGCTCTACATTTACGATGAATGTGTACTGTCACTACAAATGTAGTAGCTTTGTCCTGATTTGTATAAATTTGTAACTTTCCCGGAGAACTTTTAGTTTCAACATGGAAATCACCACTTAACAATATCGATTATGAAACAGCGAAAGACATTCACATCGAAACATTCGTAAAATATATGATATTCGCCATATTGATTATCAACTTATAAAACACGGTTCAATGTTAGTAATAGTGTGTGAAAGAGTGAGTTAAGTTTTACGCCGCACTCAGCAATATTCCAGCTATATGGCGGTGTCGGTAAATAATTGAATCTGGACCAGACAATCCAGGGATCAACAGTATGAGCATCGATCTGATGAACAACATTGGGGTGATACTCCAAATATATAATAATAATAACAACACTTAACTCAGATTCTTTTAGGAGAATGAAGTTGAAATGAATTGCGACTAGCAATAGCTGTCATTCAGTGTAAACGATGCATCTTTGGGGTATGATGGTTTAAATGTTACAGTCAAACAAGTCATTTGAAAAATAGAGATCTAGTTAGACTGATTGCCTGAACAGTTTAGTGTATCCATCAAATGCAAGGTATTTGTTTTGAATGTTGTGCCAGGACCATTTGACCAAGTTTTGTGTGCTACGACCCTTAACATCAAAGAGAGCAGCTGAAGTTGCCTACCAGCTTATGGACATATTCCTGCTGCTTGGTGCCCGAAAGATACTGCAAAAGTGATAACGGATCTAAATTCACAGCTAAAGTAACCACTGAACTAAAAGAACTTTGGATCTGATCATTGTGCACGGTAAACCACGACACCCTCAAAGTCAAGGATCGGTTGAGCGAGTGATTTCTGATATCAAGGACATGATCTGTGCTTGGATGAGTGAAAATTGAAAATTGAGTTGGTATCAGATTTATTCAGTTCAGGACTGACTGACTGAGTTTGGTTTTACGCCGCTTTTAGCAATATTCCAGCAACATCACGGCGGGGGACACCAGAAATGGGCTTCACACATTGTACCCATGTGGGGATTCGAACCCGGGTCTTCGGCTTTACGAGCCAACGCTTTAACCACTAGGCTACCCCACTGCCCCTCAGTTCAGGAAGAACCCTAGTTTTTCAACAAGTATCCAACAGTCCCCGTATTCAGCTCTCTTTGGAATGGAGGCCAAGGTTGGATTGCGATCAACATCACTTACTGATGACATCCTGAACAAGCTGCAGAGGATGACCCACT